ACTTTTTGGTGGATAAGGAATTGGCTGGATGGTTGCATCCAGAGAGATGCGGTCAACAGCTCAAAGTTCAGGTGGAGACCAGTGACAAGTTGTCTCCTTCTTGTGTATGTATTGGGACCAGGACTAACATCTTTGCTGGTGACATGGACAGTGGAATTTGAGTGCACCCTCAGCAAGTTTGCTGATGACACCAAGCTATGGTACAGTTTATATGCTAGAGGGAAAGGATGTTATCCAGAAGGACCTTGACAGGCTTAAGAGGTGGGCCCATGCAAATCTCATGAAGTTCAACAAGGCAAAGTGCAAGGTCTTGTATCTGGGTCAGGGTACTCCCAAACATCAGTACAGACTGGACGATGAATGGATTGAGAACAGACATGCAGAAAAGAACTTGGGGGTACTGGTGGACAAAAAGCTGGACAGGAGCCAGCAATGTGCACTTGCAACCCAGAAAGCCAACTGCATCCTGGACTGCAACAAAAGAAGTATGGCCAGCAGGTCAAGGGAGGTGATTCTCCCTCTCTACTCTGCTCTTGTGAGACTCCACCTGGAGTACTGAGTACAGCTCTGGGGCCTCCAGCACAGGAGACATGGACCTGTTGGAACAGATTCAGAGGAGGGCCACAAAGATGATCAGAGGGCTCTCCTACGAAGAGAGGCTGTGAGAGTTGGGTTTGTTAAGCCTGGAGAATAGAAGGCTCTGGGGAGACCTGATAGTAGTCTTCCAGTACCTAAAGGAGGCCTACATGAAAGATGGGGAGGGTCTCTTTATCAGGGAGTGCAGTGATAGGACAAGGGGGAACGGCTTTAAAGTAAAAGAGGAGAGATTTAGATTAAACATTAGGAAGAAATTCTTCACTCAGAGGGTAGTGAGGCACTGGAACAGGTTTCCCAGAGATGTTGTGGATGCCCCATCCCTGAAGGTGTTCAAGGCCAGGTTGGTTGGGGCTTTGGGCAACCTGGTCTATTGGAAGGTATCCCTGCACATGGCAGGAGGGTTGGAATTAGACAATCTTTAAGGTCCCTTCCAACCCAAACTATTCTAAGATTCGATGATTCTCAATTACTGACTTATAATGTGACACTGTATGAACATTTCAAAGTATTATTTAGGTAGACACTATAAAAATTTCCACAGCAGCCAAGGTTAGCTAACTTCCACAAAGCGTCTATCTGCAGCTTGATTATTTAAAAACTTATTTTTTATGTTTAAAAATAAGATTTGTGGTAAGTTTACATTACACAGAAGACCGACCTACATTTATTTCATAAAATGTTTTAATGGACACATGCACATCTGATACAATAGTAAATTTATTGAATTAAAATTCTTTACTGTTGTAAACATTTTACAAAAGCATTGTGATTTATCTGGATGGATATAGTCCTTAATGTAAGAATTTAGACTGAATGTGGCACATTAAAGAATAAAGTTGACAAGACCCATTCTGCATATTGTCTTTTAACAAGATTCCAGCAAGAGAAACAGCATGGTGTAAAAAGTGTACAACAACAATTGTTCTTACTATACCCATCAAAGTCTACAAACTGTAAATACAAGTTCAAGTGGTTGAAACGGTCAAAGCCATAAAAATTGTAACCAGTCAGAAATTATAGTAAGAAATGTTATCCCATTATATGTAGCTGTCAAAACAATGCATTTCTTTCCTTGTCAGTTGATAATTCTTTTCCAACAAGACAGAAAACGTTTGGCAATTAGAGGTGCTGAAAGCAATTTTTCAAGTTCAAGACAGTCACAGCATTTTCTTTGCAGAAGGTAAACTGTACACCAAGGCTCAGAGGTTATAAGAACTGGTTCCAAGAGGAAAAGTGCAACTGTTCTGCACAGATAGCTTAAAAAGCTGCTGGCACAATCATTCACCAACAGGATCTTTGTTTTCTCTTTGCATAGTTCACACATCACTGGTAATGTCACAGGGTGTGCTATTTTTGGCAAGAGCTAAAAACCAAAAGTGATACTGGTGTGAGTTGCCATATTAGACATGCTGGATCCATGCAGAATTCAGGTTGCTACCTGATGTTATTAGACACTGAATACTGATTTTGTTTTTGTTGAAGCAGCTCCGTAATAGCCAACAACTTCTTAAGAACATGCTGTAGGAAAAAGAGTACAACCCTACATTAGCAACTAGAGAAAAACAAACACCTTGCTTGAGAACCATCAACATTAGCCTACCAGACCTGTAATTAGATAGTTTAAAATATATATCAACACACACACACCAAAACCGTCACAGCTCCAGTTCCCTTGATATTAAGACATTACTTCATAAGGCAACTGTAAAACAGCAATATGAAATTTATCAGCATCCATGGACACCCATTAAGTCTTGCCAACTTAACCTGAAAGTTAACCAACTTAACCTCACTGACAGGAGGAAAAGGGAAGAAAAAAATAAATCAAGAGTTTTCTTTATGGAAACCCACAAGAAGAAATTAGTCTTCTGAAGTAGAAATAAGTATTGAGGAAACAGTATCACATCTGTTATCATTAAGTACTTCAGATACAAACCTTGTAAAAGAAATAACCCTTATCTCTAAGTGACACGTATGTAGTATTGAAAGCTTCTATTATCCTGCATGCCAGTCTAGCCATTGTTTTTGCCTTGCCAAGACTACTAGTAGCTGTGAATGAATTATGAACTTGAATATGGTGATTTTTTCCCCATAATGCCACCAAAGAGGTAAACTGTAGTAGTTATTACATGGGATTAGATTTGAACTGCTGTAATGAAACATTATTTCATTTTTAATTCCTTGAGCTTTCTTCTACCAAAGTGATTAAATGATTAAATACAAATGTATTTTCACATTTTGCAAAATCATATAAAGGTTTGCAGTAACCCCCTTGATTAAAAACAAAACAAAACCCAAAAAACATTACTACTGAAATTTGAGTAATGACTTGCCTATTGTAATTAGTAGACCATTAGCAAGTACATTTCTTTGTCTCAAAATACTAAAAAAGGTAGTCATTTGAACATTTTTCTTATTAAAAATAAGTTTTCATAAAAGTTACATAGACATTTAATAGTTGGAAAAGAATAATAATTTATAGTTGCACTGGGTCTAGCTGGGGAGTTAACTTTCCCTGCAGCAGCCCATACAGTGCTGTGCTCTGCACTTGTAGCTAGAACAGCAGTGGTATCACACCAGTGTTGTGTCTGCTGATGAGCATTGCTGGCACAGCATCAGGACTCTCTCTAACCCTCCTAGGGGGTGGGCAAAAAGTGAGAAGAGAAACATCACCAGGGCAGCTGACCTAAACCAGCCAAAAGGATATTCCATACCATGTGATGTCACACTCAGCAATAGAAGGTGGAAACAGGAAGAAGAGGAGAGGGGTGGGCTCTCGTTGTGAAAACTTCTGTTCTCCCGAACACCGGCTACGTGCATTGAGGCCTTGCTTCAAGGATGTGGTCAATCATCGCTCATTTGTGGGAAGTAGAGAGTAATTTCTTTCCTCTGCACTTCCACACAGCCTTTACTTGTTTTTTTTGTTTGTTTGTTTTTTCCCTTTTCCCCTCCCTTTTCCCCTTTTCCTTATTTCCCTTTAGTTAAATTGTTTAATTAATAATAATCTTTCCTTAATAACTATTTTTCCCTTTATTTAAATTATCCTCATCTCAACCCCTGAGTTGTTCTTTGCTTTACTTCTTCCCCTCCTCTTCTAAGGAGGGGGAGTGAGAGAGCGGTTGTGGTGGAGTTCAGCTGCCTAGCACGGTAAAAACACCACAATAGTACATTTGCTTAATAGTTGTAACAGAAGAGTCATTTATAGTGCTTGCTAGAGAAGTTGGCCATGTTTGTTTATAAATGTAATAAATCAGGAAGCAGAAGTGAATTAGTGATAGACACCTAAGGAAAGTAAATTTAGTTTTCAATTAAAAAAAAGATCCTAAAAAACTTGTGACCCAGAGAGCCTGTCAGGAGACAGTAATTTCTTGGGTTTAGGCTTCCTCTAAAAAGTAAAAGCTTCTTCTGGAAACTAAAAATCATCCCTGTAAAACATTTTGGTTTTATTGCATAAATACTTAGTCCATGGTTTTGAGCTTCTTTATTGTTGTGGTTTAACCAGGCAGTCAGCTAAGCACCAAATAGCTGTTTGCTCACTCCCCCACAGTGGGATGGGGGAGAGAATGGGAAAAAGGTAAAACTCATTGGGTAGATAAAGACAGTTTAATAGGACAGAAAAGGAAGGGAAAATATTATTAATTATGATAAAAGAATATACAAAACAAGTGATGCACAGTGCAGTTGCTCACCACCTGCCAACCAATGCCCAGCTAGTCCCTGAGCAGGGGCAGTCTTCATGGCCAACTCTTCCAGTTTTATTGTTCAGCATGACATGACATGGTATAGAATAACCCTTTGGCCAGTTTGGGTCAACTGTCCTGGTTCTGTCCCCTCCCAGCTTCTTGTGCACCCCCAGCTTCCTTGCTGGCAGGACAGTATGAGAAGCTGAAAAGTCCTTGACTTAGTGTAAGCATTGCTCTGCAACAACTAAAACATGGTTGTGTTATCAACATTCTCATCCTAAATCCAAAACATAGCACCATAACAGCTATTAGGATGAAAATTAACTCTATCCCAGCCCAAACCAGCCATTTACCTTTACAGCTACCTACCTCCTTGTGAAAAGTACATATTACAACTTTTATCACTCACACTACTCACTAGAAATATTACAAAAGAATCGTGATATTAAGCAATAACTCAAGACTTATGATTTTTGTTAACCATTGTAGTTTACCTGCATTACACCTCGCTCATTACTGAGTGTCCGAAGTTCATCTGAATGTGCCACACACATCTCATGCAAGGCTGCCAGATAACGAGATAAATCAGTTCTAGAGTGTTCTGTAGTGTCTGGAAGCTCAGGAACATTCTTTAACAAAAATTATGAGAGCAGACTTAGAATGGTGAGTACCCAGGCATACTGGAAATTACAGTTCTACAGTTGTTTCAATACTGCAAACAAGTACTGTAACGTTTTTCTTCAAAATTAAGTTTTCTTGTTCATGTTATATAATACAAATTATATATTTCCTTCACTCTACAAGCATATATTTAACAAAGACATTTTAATTATGGTTACACATTTCATGTGGAGTGATTACTAAATAAACAGCAATTCCTATTCCTAGTAGGAGGGTTCTACTAAAAGGTCTGATGTTGCTATGCTGCCTCTAAGCTGACCAGAAAGATACTGAGAATAGAGATTCATATTACAGCAGTAGTTTAATCAGTTATTTTAAAAATGAAGAGTTTTCAGAGTCCTTGTATTGAATCTGTCATTTAAAGAAAAAACAGTATATCATAATATATGTAAGAAGTTGCCATTTAACCAGAAAAAGGTGACATATGGCAACTGATCTAATTGACACGCTTCAAACACTCACTCTTACAGATTATCAAAATATTGTGCTGTGTCTTCTAGGCCACTTAATGGATCAATTCAGGAAGCTAGGCACATTTCTTTCATCTTATTTTTTAAAACAAATTCTCAATTTAAACATGTATACACACAGACATACACACACACATATAGACATATGCACAAACATGAGCTCCGTACTCTTATTATAGCTACCATACACAAAACAGTAACAGTTTTGAAGTGAACTGCAATTATTATTTTATTTTAAAATACAAGATCTAGAATACATGCAGAGACACGTTTGGTAATGTATAACTGCAACTGAACATAATACTTTTAAAAATAATAATTTTTTTTAAATGTCTGGTCAAAACCATAAAACAAATTCTTACATGTAATTTGTCATAAAATATAAAAGAAGGGTAGTTTTGGCCAAAAGCCCTAATCTTCAGGGAAAAGCTCAAAGAGATCTCATGTATACAGCAATGCTAAACGATTCCAACCCCTCAAGACATTTGATGGCTTTAATTCTGTGCGACAGGCCAAGAGCAATCCGCAGTTCCTAAACATGGATAAGAAGTTTTTCAGTAGCAAGCATTCAAAATCGTGTGGAAGATGATGCATTTGAGCTAGTTAAGAACTGTAAAGAATTTTCATTTATGATGCTGCTATGCAAATTCCAATAGCTTCCAATAGATTAAAAAGATTATAAAAAAGAAAAAAGAACTTACCCCAAGTTCATCTAAGAACATGATCATACGGTGTTTGTTACTCTTGATGAATGGATTTACCCCCTCCATATATGGCTCCTAGTAATTTTTAAAAGTATTTATTAGAACAAATCAGTATCAATTTAGTCATATCTGAAATGAATGCATTGTTATCAGAGAAGTGACACTACAAAACACAAATGTGTCATCTGGAGTAATTTTATTTTTTCAAGTGAATTTATAATGACTGGTGTACCAGCAGTCAAAATGCTACACTTTTTTTTTTTTTTTGTATTCCAGATGTATTCTGAAATTGTTCATATAGGTACAGTGACACAAATTTTTCAGAAATTTAAAATTTCAAGATGGACATTTCTCTGATACATAGCTTCAATGAAAAAAAAAAAACAACAAACAACAACTTTCAGAGGTAACATCTGGAAATAAGTGCCCTCCTTCTCGTTCTTTCATTAATGCTTACATTCCAACTTGCGAGTGTCAAACAAACAGCTTTATAATGGCAACCTGAACTCACTATCTTTCATTATGCTTACATCAACAAATGTATTGTTCAACCAAGCTGAGGCTTGGGAACCAGAACAGACCAGTTGCTGCTGGCATTCTTTTAGTGATACAATAGAGACTTTATTAAAAGCTGAGTCTTTTTAGTGCAACTTGTAAAACTGATTTACAAAATTATGTCAAGCAATATGAAGATGAGTACAAATAAAAGTGGTGTTTCAAAATGCTGTACCAATAGAAAAATGCCACTCTAAGGAATATGTAGTGCAAAAGTGTGCATGTGGAGAGGGTGTGGTGCAGATGGAAAGGCTGACAGTTATTCATTTGTTTCAGAATTAAATACTCTATATCCAGCTGGATGTTTCTTCCTGATTGGTCTTAGTTTGAAAGAGAATTATTGCATGATCTCAATTTGAAAGTGAATTATTACATATATTCTATAAAATACATTCTATATCCATTTTCTTTTAAGGTTCTGTACAGAGGCATACCAGTATTACTGAAAGATGTCTCCCCTTTTTGACATTAAATAATCAGTGGAAATGCAAAAAAGTCTGCTATCATCTACTTAAGGCAGATGATACACCTTTTCTGAACAGATTCTTTCTAATCACAGATTTCTGCTTTAGCATTTCTCAGTTGTCTTTTTGATATGGATATTCCTAAAGAAAATTTACCCATTTTACCATTACATAGCTGTTTTCTTTGCAGAGGGATGGCTGCCTGCCTCTCCTCTCCTACTTTTCCAACTCCAACACCAAAAATACTAGGGTATGGCTGCTACCATTTTGGTCACCGACAGACAAAACAGTCCACTACTTCCATTGTTGTCTTTGGAACATATGTCTGAGTTTATCCATTCTCATAGAATGAAAATATGGTTGCATTACACTCTATAACACCTACTAGTATGGTCACTGGTTCATCAATTATTTTAACAGACTATTTCTGTTGTTCATACTACCAGATTCAAAATCCTCATGGTATGCACCAAACCATTCACACCAATTTCTAGATGATTCATTCTCAAAATGATTGATTCCTCTTCCCAATGCAGACAGACTTTATGCTACTGCTCTAGTTTAAATTAGCTCCCTGTTGAGCTCCAAATGAAGAGGATTGGATGAACTGCAGGAACAAGGTCTCCTTGCTGATGAAGACACCCAGATCACACATTAGTCTTTGTACAACCAAACAGCAATAGATTTTTGCCTGTATTAAACAGGAACATTGAAATGTATTGACAATGCAGTTCTAGGCTGTTCTGTATAGAATTATATTCACCTTAGCTCCAAACTCAACCAGATTTGCTAAATTTTGCACAGACTTGGCGACCAGTGTCAACGTTCTTGCAGCAGTAGGGGAAGGAGAATCTGACAGAAATAGAAAGCAGAGAGTTACTGGCCATTTAATTTAAAACTACCACCAGTCACATAAAAGTTAATCTCTTCTCCAATTTATTTTTATCATGAAATTAAATAATTTGAATGTTGTCATGGTCAAGTAAAACTTGTTTTTTTTTTTAGTAATTATGTCCACAAAAATTGATATGCATATCTGACTTTCTGTACTAGTTGCTTACAGAACAAAGTAAGAAAGTGTTCCTCGGAAGCCTTAGGTTAACAGAAGTTCTATGAATTAAGTGGAAAGTCTTTTCACAAAAAAAGAAAAGCAAAAAAAACACAACTCTGTTAAAAGGAGGATTATTTGTTCTTAGGATATAATAAAATAATTGATTTTACCCTTTTCCTTATTTATCCATACACACATAAGTGGGTCCTGCATTGTTATGCAAATTATACGGGAAATTGCTAGTACAGGGAAAATAGACTAAAGATTGCATGCAATCCTGGTTTGTATTTGCATGAAAGCATAGTTATTTACTGTACAAATCAAATGCAAGAATATCCTGCTACTATTGCTTCTGGTTTTAAACTAAGATTAGTGTTAAGTGTAGGTTTGGTTTTTTGTTGTTGTTTTTATAAACAGTTATAGTCAAATTTGGCTTTCTGCTTACTGGCCATTTAAGTGTTCCAAAACTAACAGAATTATTACATAAACTCTAAATTTTGCAGTACTTCATAATACTATATACCGTTCATTGTCTGTCTGCATCTTTTGATGCCCTCTGTCTTCCTGCTCCCTACCCTACTCAGCACTGCAATTAAGTTCAAACTTTTTAGGCCTAGCTGGAGCTTAGACTGAGGCACTAATGCAACAAATCTCAGCTGTTCATAGCATCTAGTGCTAGACATCCCTTTGAAGAAGCAATTCTGGAAAACATTACTAGCCTTAGAACTGGGAACTTCAAGATGAAGATAACTGATCTAAAGAAGAGTATTCTTTTTTAAAAATCAAGTTTGAAACAAAGGAATTAACTTTTTCAATATTTTTGAGAACGGTAGTTCAGATGATAGAACAAGCACATTGCTACTGAAACTGAACTCTATGTATACATGCAGATTTCAGAATATATATATTTTTCCTTATTACAGGAAAAAGTATGTTAGAAGCTTTGCCCCAAAAAGAAAGAGCCCCCTTTTTTTTGAACAGCTCTAACAGCCCTATATAGAGTCTGTAAGTTTACCTTAGCAATAGCTGAGAATATTAGCTGGACTTCTGAACAGGACTAACAATTTACAGATAAGCTTTAAAGGGATAACACAAATTACTGGATAACAACTCCATTTTCAGCTTAAGACATAGTGGTCTCAATCTAGTCCCCAAGTTCGAAAATACATAACTTACAAATCTGAAGATGATAAAAAACACTAAAAAAAGGATCACCATGTACCAGGCAATGGTTCTTAAATGCTTTTGTCAAAGCCTGTATGAAAATCATTACAAGGTGAAAGGAACTTTTGGACTGACTCAGGCCTCATTCAGTATAGTTTAGAGAGAGGACAGAAAACGTTACAGATTAGAGTGGGACAATCACTTCCCTTGACTGGTTAGCTATACTGTGCTTAATGCATCCCAGGATACAGTTGGCCCTTTTGGCTGCCAGGGCACACTCTTCAACTTATATTCATATTCTCATATTCAACTTGCTGTCAACTAGAACCTCCAGATCACCCTTTGGAGATCAAAGGTTCTCCAGCCTCTCGTCCCCCAGTCTTTATATATATACAGGGTTGCCCCATCCCAGGTCCAGAATACAGCACTTGCTCTTGTTAAATTCCATGTGGTTGGTGATTGCCCAAACATCTAATTTGTCAAGATCTCTCTGCAAGTCCTCTCTAACCTCAAGGAAGTCAACAGCTCCTCCTAATTTAGTGCCGTCTACGTACTTACTTAGTATGCAAAAGAAAAAATCATAGAATCATAGACTCATAGAATATCCCAAGTTGGAAGGGACCCATAAGGATCATCAAGTCCAACTGGCACTACACAGGTCTACGCAAAAATTCAGACCATGTGACTAAGTGCACAGTCCAAACGCTTCTTAAACTCCGACAGGCTTGGTGCAATGATTACTTCCCTGGGGAGCCTGTTCCAGTGTGCAACCACCCTCTCAGTGAAGAACCTCTTCCTGATGTCCAGCCTAAACCTCCCCTGCCTCAGCTTGACTCCGTTCCCTTGGATCCTATCACTGGTGACTAAAGAGATCAATGCCTTCCCCTCCACTCCCCCTCATGAGGAAGATGGTGACTGCGATGAGGTCTCCCCTCAGCCTCTTGTTTTCCAGGCTGAACAGGCCAAGTGACCTCAGCTGCTCCTCGTACGTCTTCCCCCCTAGGCCCTTCACCATCTTTGTAGCCCTTCTCTGGACACTCTCCAACAGTTTTACGTCCTTTTTGTACTATGGTGCCCAGAACTGCACACAGTACTCAAGGTGTGGCCACACCAGCGCAGAGTAGAGCGGGACAATCACTTCCCTCGACCGACTAGCAAAAAAAAATGTATGGATGAAGTATAACATATGCAAACTTTTTAAAACTACAGAACTCAAATATCCCAATATTTTGGTACTATGGTTTTCCCACCAGCAGGTTTAATGCCTTTCCTTTCTTCCTCTCACACAAGGAATACAGCAAAACTTAAAAAACTGAAATCCCTTCAACACAGCATTATGTCTAGAATAACAATAACACACACAGTAGTTGTTGCATCTGTAAGACTTCAACTACATTTAAGTTAAAAAGCCCAGAGATATTTCTAGGTGCTTAAGCCAATTGCCATGGGAGAATCCGTGCCCTGACCCTTAAAGCTTCACAGCAGCCCCATGCCAACCATGTCAGACATGGTTCTCTGATGCATGTGAACACCCAGATCACACCTAAGAACTGTTTAGGAGAATGCTATCCAATATCAGCCAGAATCCTGCCACAGACCAGTATAGGGATGCTGTTCTAGCAAAGGAATAGTCCCTGTCACTGTTTTATTTACTGATATAGACACTACAAAGAAAGCATCAAAAAACAGTTAATGCTTTCTTTATGCAACACTTTAACATTTGGTTTAATGGTTCTTATTGGCTTGCCTAAGTATTGCCTTTGACAAACAAGATTACTATTGTAAGTCCACACAACACACCCTTCTTACATACTACTATATACCTCTCATATTTAAGATTCCTTACTTGAGAATGACTGTACTTAATGACTCAAAGTAGAGACTTTTCCAACTTCTAGAGGTTATTTAAGCAAAAATGTCAGACAAATTACTCAAACATATTTTTTTAGGTTCATAAATGTATTCCAGGCTCTGCAGATCTTTTCAACTTTATAGATCTTGTTGATTTAAGAAATGTGTTTGTGGCTTTCTGCTGTTGTTTTGGTCGTGTCGTATCGTGTGTCCCCCCCTCATCCCTCCCCCCCCCCCCGAATATATTACACACTGCTAAAGTAAGAGTTCAATATTATATCTTTTAAATATCAACAAAGTTTTCTGGGGAGACGGAGGGACTGGACATTACTTTAAAACAAGACCTTGGGAATAAACACTGTCTAACCTTTGAGAGCAAAAACCATGTGCTGGGTCCCTTAGTGAGAAAGTCAGTCAATTAATATGGATAACATAGCTTTGGACACAGTGTTCAAAAGAATTCATATTTTTTTTAAATTAGGCACTAAAGTAAGTTTATGCCTATTACTATATAAAGCATGGATTTAATCTGAAGCATAGTCACCTGAGATGATATTAAACATCCTTGGGTTCAGTATAGCAGGACAAATCAGTCGAAGAAAAACAAAGCCACTGAAATGGGAAGAAAATTGTATTTTGTTCAATAATGAAGTTAAAAAATTATTGTAAAATTATGTAGTCTTTAAGCATTTAAGTCAATGTGGAAACCTTTTTGAAACAGGTGACAAACAATGAGCCTGCACCCTCATGAAAATGTTTGTTAATTATGAATGTCTTGTTATGATTTCAACTTTTATAAAAAAATGAAATAAAAACAGGCATATTGATTTCCCAATTAAGGTGAACCTCTGAAACCACTTGGGAAAAGCTTAACTGTAAAACCATACTGATGCCTGTGGTATAAGACCGCACTGGCTTTAAGAAGGAGGAAAACTTGGTCTCCTACCTCCCAAAAGTGTTCCACTGTCTACCAGTAATTGAACCTGTAGCCACTTGCTCCCCCAAGCCAATGTAAGGAAAGCAAGAGTGCAGTCAGAACAGAACCTCTTTTTTGGCAGCAACATAGCCTTATATCAGCTTAAACTGAGCTGATAACAGTACATTATTATCCTAGATCAGCTACTTTCTGGAAAAGCTGGAGAAAAGCACTCAGTTTGCAGAACTAGAAACTTACTCAACAGAAACCCAAAATAGCCTTTAGTTTAGCATGAGAAAAATCTAACTTTCTGTTGACAGCTGATAAAGTAAAAAATATCCATCTGAGGTTAACTGTGATTCTAGAAGATTGCTATAAATGAAGTGACATACAGACCAACTAAAGCTATTTAACTCATCTCTTGTTTTGTTCAGGGTACACTACCAACAGACTGCTTTTTCACTACAGCAATACTAAAGCCTGACCACTTAAAAAAAAAAAAAAAGGAAGAGGACCTTGCAATATCTTGCTTATTGATAAGTACACAGTGATGGCATTGTCCACAATTACTCAGAACTGATACGTAGCGGTAGGGTTAACACACCTTCTGTCTGTCCAAGACACCTGAATTTTAATATATAGTGTTATAGAAGTTTCCTATTTCTCCAAGAACCACAGATTACCGGATGACAAAAAAGTCCTGGCTCAGTGTTGTTATATATGGAGTGGTAATTCCTGTCGAGAAAATGGTTGATATTAATAAAGAAGGGGGAGATGTGGGAGTGTGGCCATGGGGGTCGGAATGCCCCGTGGTTGAGATAACATTAGACTCTCAACGATGAGGCCATCAGGAATATAAAAGAGTTTAGAGGGAACAAAGAAGGGTGATTCAGAAGGCTCCATGCAGTCTTGGGTTTCTTGTTCTCCAGCTGGTCTCTTGTTCTCCAGCTGCTAAGGCATGTATATTTCTGGGTGTTTGCTGTTGTTGTTACATTCAAAGATGTTTGACCAATGAAAAGTTGTTTTGAAAAGAACTGCTGTGGAGAGAAGGGTATAAGAGGGGAGCCTGCCCTCAAAATAAAAAAGGAAGGCAACACGATGTGATGAAGTTATGATCAATAAAGAAGCAGAAAGAAGAAATGAAAAGGAACAGGCTGGCAGAACAGAGACCAGGACGGGAACAGGCACATTGATCGCCTCATGAAGATAGGTTCGGCCAAACTTGGCAAAGTGCTCAGAGAAGCTCGTACAGAAAGTCGCTGGAAATAGGCGCACTGGAGCTGGAGAGAAGCTCAAGTTGAGAGAAGCGGACTTGTGCACACAACTGCCTCTCGCTGGTAAGCAGCTGCGCATTATGGGGAATCATATGTCCTTAGGAACAAAGACTGGTAACAATCGGACAGTTTATGAGCCTGAAATATGGGACCAAATTGAGGTCAAGGTGTGGGACTCTGCAACTAAAAATGACAAGGTTGCAGTGGGATTGCTCGGCACCTGGTGAGCAATCTGAGGCCTTAAAGAGCCATGTGGGACCACAGTCAGAAACATTGTGGGAATAGAAATGTTGTTTTTGCAGAGTTACATTGTTTAGAAGGAGGGAATGTGGTACTGAGATATGCTTACAGTGATAAGAAAGTTTAGCAGGCGACCTAGTGAAATGCAGACAACCAGACTCCTTAGGACAATTAGGTGAAAATCACGGTGTCAAGTCAAGTCAGATAAGTGAAGAAACATTACCACTTCAAGCAGTAAAAATGTCAAAAGAAATTTGAAATTTAACAGGCCGGCAACTGAAGGCCATGCATTGTGTGTGAAGCATCAGATAGATTGTGAACCTGGATTACCCACTCAGTGGGGAAACAGGGGAGGGTCCTGCCATCAAAAGGTATATAAACTGTGTTTTGGAACTAGTAGATGCGCTCTCTCCTGCTTGTGGGGCGCCCGCCATTGCAATCGCGAATAAATTACTACTTCACTGAGATCCTCGCCTGAGCCTAAGTTATTGGCTACGGAGTGTTTCTCACAACATGTGGTTTGCCAGATAGTGAGGGAGCTGCGGGCTCCTTTACTGATCCGACTGCTATGCCATCGGCCCCTCTGCTGCTACAGCCATCGAAGGCTTTTGCTGTTACGACCCTGTTGACCTGAATGTGCCTTTTGACCCGGGCCCTATTGGCCTTGAAAAGGAGATGGATATGCTTTTCTTCGATCTGGGAAGAATGGGATACATAAGGCCTGAAGACTGAGTTGCTTGACAACTTAAAGCGAGACATATTGTTCAAAAGGAATGGAAAATGGAGACTTGTTAGTAATCAAGAAAAGAAATGGAAAATGGAGACTGTTAAGTCATGGAACTTAAAGGATTGTTTGTTACCTTTTCTGATCGTGAATATGTATAGGCGTACTCGATTTTAGTAAGTTATGGAACTTAAAGGATTGTTTGTTACCTTTCCTGATTGTATGTATGTATAGGCATACTCGGGTTTAGTATGTAAAGCAATGTTCTGTATATTTAGAATGTTTGATATTCGTGTGTGCGTGTCGGTGGAGCGTAGACTCCCCGCACACCCAGCGCTGTTTATTTGCCTTTTATACCTTTTAGAAATATTTGTTTTATAAATATTAGAAAATTCAGATTGAGTTGAGACTTCATTTATAACAGTGTGAAACAAAAATATTTTCTATGGAATGTACTTGAAGCTATGAGGAAGTAAATAATTTTGAAGTCATAGAACATGCACCAATTTCTTTTTTAGATGGCCTGAAGTTGAAGACAACCCAGTACAAGAGGGACATAGAACTACTGGAGCGAGTCCAGAGGAGGGCTACTGAGATGATTAGAGGACTGCAGCACCTGTCGTACCAGGACAGGCTGAAAGAACTGGTCCTGTTTAGCCTGGAAAAGTTAAGACTGAGGGGAGACCTTATTAATGTGTATCAATATCTGAGGGAAGGGTGTTGAGAGGATGGAGCTGGTCTCTTTTCAGTTGTGCCCAGCAAAAGGAGAAGAGGGAACGGGCACAAACTGAAGCACAGCAGGATATTCCGGCTGAATATGAGAAGGCACTTCTTTACTGTGAGGGTGACAGAGCACTGGAACAGGTTGCCCAGAGAGGCTGTGGAGTCTTCTATGGAGAAATTCAAAACCCGCCTGGATGCCATCCTGTGCAATGTGCTCAAGGCAATCCTGATTGGCAGGGGAGGTGGACTAGATGATCTTCAGAGGTCCCTTCCAACCTTGGCCATTCTGTGATTCTGTAAACTGGGGTATGAACCTAAGATAGACTTTGCAGATACAGAAGATTTGGTGCTTCTTATACCTGTCAAACTAAATTAAGAATGAGTCGATACCTATACATGGGCTTTTACAATCAGACAGAAATGGCAGCACTTTTTGAATGATATAGAAGGGAAGCTACCCAGACACTTTAAAAATTCCCACCTGTTTCTGAATGCATAATCTTTATTGGACCAAAACCAGTACAATAAAAGATAATATTCTTCACTGGAAGCTGTAAGAAACTGTACTCTAGAGACAAGTCACAAGAATCCACTTATGAAGGCTAAGGTGATGTGAAAGGGAGCCAGTATTTATAGTATCCAGCAGAAACCCCAAGAAAATTCTGAATGACAGATGTATCCACTTAAGGCACATGGCAGTCTCTGGAGTTAGGGAGGAACAGAGAGACGTGGTATTTGCTTTTAAGTTCTACACCCTTGGAATAGGCTAGTCCCAACACCTCTGATAAGAGCAGCCTCAATTTGAAGGCAATCCCCCTTCCCCCTCCATGGGATGCTGAATGACATGTCAGTGATAAACAAGAGCCAATGACAAATCATCTGAAAGACTGTTCAATAAGAGATTAAGCTCAGCAAATCATTATCAGTGACAGATGCTAGTCTACTATCAAGCTAGGCTTGAAAAAAACAAAACGAAAAGCAAACGTAGAAGAGATGCATCTTTGATACCCTTATACCTCTAGTATCATTTAGAAAGACAGTGTTAAGACCTCATTTTTGTCAAAGATTTTTGACCTGCACTGGCTGGCAACCGACCAGTTTAACACTGGAAGAACTAATTATTCAATTGGTTTATGAATACAGACTGGAGTTTTTGTACTCATTGCCAGTTCAGAGAACAGGAGTTCCTGGAAAAGGCATGATTCTCCCAGATGGCATATGACAGGAACATCATCTTCAGAGGCCACTGCTCTCTAGAGGTATCACAAAGGTTAGCTATCACTTTGAGATAAGTTTTTCTCTTTCCCAACATGAAAAAGGAAATCAATATTTTAGATTAGTTTGTAAAATCATAAAATGCAAAAGTAAGTTCTAAGATAAAGCTATTAAGTAAAGCTATACTGAACTCTATACTATATTTCTAGCAAAGGTTCTAACAGCATGACTAAATCTAGCAAGTTCTCAAACCTTAATTGGGATATCATGCCCCAGCACTATCATGATCTTAAATAATGTTGTAACCCATGTAAGTGCTATAAAGAATTGGCACTGAAAGAAAAATATATAAACACACTGAAGGGTGAAAATAATGAGATGTTAAAAGATTATTTTCAACTTAAAACAAAATAACAAGTAACATACCTAACAACTCTTGTTCTCATTGTGGTATTAGTTGGCCACTTGTTTTGAACAGACTTCTGCAAACATCCATAAATATATCTCAGTGTCCTGTAAAAATAATAGCCAGTTACTCATTCCATTAAAAAAACTTCGCAATTAAAAAAGCTGTTCAGAAGCTGTATCTAGTCCAACCTCCTGCTTAATGCAGAATTATTATCAATGATAGATTTATTATTCAGACTGTTGTGGTTTAACCCAGCAAGCAGCTAAGCACCACACAGTCGTTCACAGCCCCCCCTACACCTCCCACTGGGATGGGGGAGAGAATCAGGAGAGAAAAAAAAGTAAACACTTGTGGGTTGAGATAAAGACAGTTTAATAGGACAGAAAAGGAAGAGAAAGAATAATAATGATTACGATAATAATAACAATAATAACGTAGAAAGCAAGTGATGCACAATGCAATTGCTTACCACCTGCTGACTGATACTCATCCCATCCCTAAGCAGTGGTCCCCCCCACCCCAGCCAGCCACTCCATATTAATGGTTCAGCATGACATCATATGGATCATATGGAATATCCCTTTGGCCAGTTTGGGTCAACTGTCCTGGTTCTGTCCCCTCCCAACTTCTTGTGCACCCCCAGCCTCCTTGCTGGCAGGGCAGTATGAGGAGTAGCAAAGGCCATGACACTGTGTAAGCACTGCTTTGCAACAACTAAAACATCAGTGTGTTATCAGCGTTATTATCATCCTAAATCCAAATCACAGCACTATACCAGCTTTAGGACTAAAATTAACTCGATCCTAGCCAAAACCAGGACAAAGACATAAACTTTACATTAATTTAACATCTGTTATGACAGTCCATATACAAATGGCAGAGTCCTTGACTAATACACAATTCTATTTGTGCAATTCAGATTCTGATTATTCATATGTGAATAAAAATGTTTTATAATAAATTTGTTGCTTTTTTCCCACTTTTTAACTGAATGAATAACAATTTGTTTCCATAAATACATTTTAAGTGTTTAAAGGTAATTAAGCAATAGTTTTCCGCTTTAAAAAAATACAACTTTTAATGCTTAATCTTTTCTTCACCAACACAAAAGAAACTTCTGTGCTACTCTGCTATTCTGTGGTGGGTTGATCCTAGCCAGCAGCTAATCACTTGCTCACTCTCCCTGTGCAGGATGGGGGAGAGAATAAGAAGGGCAAAAGGGAGAAAAATTCATAGGTTAAGATAAAACCAGTTTAAAAGGTGAAGAAAAATGCAAACAAAGAAAAATACGGAATTCATTCACTAGTTCTGCTCCGCAGGCAGATGTCTACCTACATCCTGGAAAGCAGGGCCTCAGCAAACAAAAAGTTACTTGGGAAGACAAATGGGAAACTTCATGCCCCTCCTCTAGTACCATGCTAACAGATAAACGTCCTACTTGATCAGCTGACTTAGTAAGGTCAAACTTGGCTTGGCTTTTGGCTGTTCTAACTTGATATTTACATTTCCAGATTTTAGTTTCTATATAAATTTATCCTGTGTTTCTGCTTTCTCCTATTGTTTTATGTTTGAATGTTACTCACTTAGGACATGAGTGCAAATAAGGTTAGTGAGGGACTGCACAACTTCTTGCATAAATAACTGTTTTAATTTAGATCTGCACCATTCTTGTTGCTTCAGAGTTTATCCTTAATTAGTCATTCCCAAAAGTTTTGATAGAAGACAGCCAGATACTCGATAACCTTTAAAGACTTATGTAAATTTTATATAAATCAATGTGAAAGGTGATGCTTTCTATTTAATGTTAAATAAATACAGATGTTACTTTGTAAACATCGGTCTGTATTTTATAAGAAAAATAAGGTTTATTCTGGTCTAATCATTCCACAAGAAATAGTCACATTACATTTCTGGCAAAGGTATTGTATGAAATTATATTGGTTTGCTAAAACGCGAGAGAACAATAATAAAAAATTGGTAGTGTTCAATAATATTTTTGGTTGCAGCTTCATAGTGTTTAATTGTTTCACAGTTGATTCCTGAGCTTTAAACAAACAAACAGACAAAAAAAAAAACAACAACTGCTGATTTCTCCCTTATTTACCAGCATCAAGAACAAGTGCTTAATAATACGGTGGATGGAAAAGAAATCTACAATACAATTCGTCGCAAAACAAAGGATGCTTTTTATAAAAATATTGTCAAAAAAGGTTATCTTCTAAAAAAAGTGAGTTCTGTTGCTTCTATAAAATGTTTCTCTTAAAAAAAAAAAAAGCAGATTTGGATGCATGTTTTGTGTAGCACTAGTACCTAGTGGAGGCAAAATTGAAGTGAGCAAAAGGTTATAGAAAGTTATAGATATGAAAGGTTCTTTTTCCTTAAATTCGTCAATAGAAATACATAATACATAAAATGACACGTAATATAAAGTTCATTGGCAGTTGTTGCTGAAAAAAATCAGAGAGCAGCACAAAAACTAAGTGCCTTTCATCAAAGGTAATATTCAAACTCATTAAATGAAGTATACTTTTATAAAATTCATACTTAGTATGCAATTCATTTAAATTTAAGCTGATGGCATGAGTTAGAGAGCTAGATTAATGTAAATCAGTGCGTTCATTGGAGACCAGAGCTGGTTTAATTTTGTTATTCCAAGTTAGGTAATATGTGTAATTTAAAATGTGTGTTCTGGGTAGTTCTGTACAGACAGAACTTAGTAGTAGTAGTTCTGTATAGACAGAACTATTAAAGTTCTGTCTAACACTGACACAGTCAACGTAATGTACAGTAATTGGATTAAAAGCTGCCTGACTCATCCCAATATATCCTTAAAGAATTGCCATTGAATAAGGTGTTGGAGTTCCAAGGAAGCTAGTCCCTTACCAAGTATCATGGTTTTATTTTTTTTGTTTCTGCTAAAGCTGATTTTAATGATCAGCAATACAACAAACATTTAAAAATTAAACATAAATAAAAAATAATGTTTCTAGAAATGACGAAGACCGTAACTTAAACAATAAGTTCCAGATAATGGTCTGGATAGCGAGCAAAAATGAGAAAGAAGGCAAGCACTTAGATATAGTCAAATATAAAAGATGCATTCAGAGGAAATAAAAACTAGATCCTCTGAATAAAGCAAGGAAAGCACCTCTTCTCTTGAGGGTGTTAATTCTGAGATAAGATGTAGAGGGCTGTGGTAGAGTTGAGGAATTAGCTGAGAATAAACTTTTAAAAATAAATAAATAAAATTTTAGCTAAAAGGGATACTGAGATACTTTACATGTGCAAGCAGGAGTACTGAATAGGTATGGAGAGAGACACGTACCTGCATATAGAACAAAAAATTAATAAAATCACTCTTCCATCTAGTAGAGTATGACTAGATGTTAAAGTAGGTTTTCCAAAACTGTGAGTTCTAGTCCTTGTTTATGAAGGTATGTGGTAGATCTATGATGATCAAGTTGAAAATTAATGCTGAATGCTTTTCTAAAAGGTACTGTGTCTTATGTTTTTACGTTTTTCTCTGAAACGTGGAACTGGCCAAATTCTTGGATATAGGTGTGTTTGGGTTCAGGTTTGGTTCTGATTCAAGTATGTGTATATTATGTTCCTATTTCTATTCTGTAGTGATACGGTTTTAAGATATCGTGATGCAATTTGTTATGCTGAGCAGTTAGTAAGAGTTTAGGAATAATTTTCTCATGTCAGGAGAAATCCGTTTCTTAATTTAAAATAGCTTTATTAATTTGGATTGTTTACAGCATCACACATTATTTGCGAACTGCATAGTCAGTCTTCTCATTGATATGAATGGAGTTGTCTGGGCAGCTCGTGCACTTGCTTAATCCTGTTGAGATTAATGAAAATGTTTAGAGAACCATCTACAATTGTACCTGAACATGTGAAGAGGGACTGTTTTTAGCTAGATGTTGCAGAAAACATTGCATATGCATACTGATATTACTGCTTAAGCATGGTTAACTGTATGTTGTTTTTCTGTTTGTATTTTGACAAAAACCTTACTGCCCTCTTTTTTCTTCATTTACAAAATTTATATTTTCTTTAAAACAATATTGTAACTTCCTACTTGCTTTTTTACAGGTAAGGGGAAGAGATGGAAAAACTTGTACTTTATATTGGAGGGAAATGATGCCCATCTTATTTATTTTGAAAGTGAAAAACGAGCCACAAAACCTAAAGGTTTAATAGACCTTAGTGTGTGTTCCATCTATGGAGTACATGACAGTTTATTTGGCAGGTACGACACTGATTTTTTAATGCTTGTACATGCAGCAGGGCAGTTAACTGGTAGTTTGAGGCATGTACGGTACATGGACAATATGTCAGTAATGAACAAGGTGGGTTTTTTTTGTTTGTTTGTTTGTTTTCTGATTGTGAAATGTAAGCATTGTGACTGTTGGTTTATATTGTGTTTTATTCCATAGTTGGTGTAGATTGCAAGAGTGTATGTAGACAGATTTAACTGAAAATGGTAACTTGTTAAGCCATGGCAACTTGATTGCTAGCAACTGTTCATAAACAAATTCTAGTAAGAAATTTTAGAACTTAGTCTTAAGATTGTCTTGTGTGTAATAATGACTTGGACTATTGCATCGTCATTTTTCAATATTGTGTATTAATTGTTCCCCATTTTGTATTACAGGCATTAAAAAGATTATGAAGCAACTCTATTGAGGGTTTTAATCCTATTGAATCAAAAATTGATAAGATCAAGGATTTTGTCAATTCCAAAAGATCTGCATTCTTTTGCTGATAGGTATTAGAAAGCTAAATTGGGGGGTTGAAACTACTCTGTGTTCAATGCTCTATACAGTCAAACATCAGAAATGTATTAGTTCAGTGTGAACTTTGATTTGGCAGATATCAAGAAATGGAGGCATTTGTCAATGCTATAAAGATTAATAAACCTTATGGGTTTTGTTCCTTTATTAAGGCCAAACTGTTTTCAAATAGTAGTTCAGCACTTCAGCGAAGAGCATTACATCTTTTACTTTGCAGGAGAAACTCCAGAACAAACACAGGTGAGAGATTTTGTTGATAAATATAATTTTAAAAGCAATTTTTTTTGTCTTGTAATGTTTAATATTTCCCTTCTGTAATAGAAATTTTGTTTAATATTTCCCTTCTGTAATAGAAAGCATGCCTACCACAGATGGTAGCTATGTCTACATTAACAAATATTACCATGCAAGTAGCAGATCTGTAAGGGAAATTGTTGATGCTGAGAATGTAGCTATGGGGATTTTACTTTGGACAAGTTTTAGTCTGGTCTCATGCACTGAACTCTCATTAGTTTCCCTAAAATATTTCTGGAGAATTATCTTTTGGAGTAGTTCAGTCCAAAAAAAATTTGTTTGCTCTCCAAGAATCTTCTATGTTATGAACCAAAGCATGGTAAGTGGGGAGTTTTCCTTCAAGAGTGCTTCTTGATGTGAACAAAAATGCTGATGCAGGTATGTCCAGCGATCAGAATTTGCTGAGCATTTTACAGTTATTTGTCCTGACCATAAATTGGTGGTTGTTTAAATTCTTGGGCACTGATTTTGCATGAAAAGTAAGATTTATTTATTTTTTAATTACTATCATTTAGTTATTAGCTCTCTAGCAATTAACGTTTGCAGATTAAAAATTGTAGGAGTGGAGCCTAATTCTCTAAAAGTCACCCACCGACAGAAGAACGTATGTAAGATGCGATAATGTTCTTAATCATTAAGTTGTTTTGGTATTCCATGGCTCTGAAATACCTGTGTTAGAAGTTAACCTTTGCATTTGATTTTATTTAAGAACGTGCAGTAGGCAGAATATTCTGTCCTGTTTTCTGACCGTTTGGTATAATCTGCTTTTGGGTTAGACTTGCTTAACATTTAAGCTGTTCACTGCATTTATAGGATTTCATTTATAAAATTATTCTTGGTAAGGCACATCAATTGTTTTACAGATGCTTCCGATTTCAGAAGTTTCAGTTGTCTGTACCTTGTAAAATTTCATGGAAGAATAGTTTTGTTGGTATATTAAGGAAAACTTGCCAGTTTTCATATAATGTGGTAAATATCAAAGCAGATGTCCAATGGATTGCATGATGTCTTTGATGTTTGTACAAAACATTTGTGAATGTAATGTGAAATGTAGCCTCATATACTAGTGTCACTGTACATGCCATGGTGCATTACTCATGCTAGTGTAAACTTTGGAATTTAAGGGGAAAAGTTTTCTTGTTAGGAGGGGGAATAAAGAGGAGTATATATCTAGGAAATATTTATATTAATTTAGAGTATTTAGGAGGTTCTGTGGGTCTTCAATTGCTTTTCCTTATTTGGATAAGGAAACAAGCTACAAAAAAAAAATGCATAGTTGAAAGTTCTTCCTTTTGTGGAAGGTTTTGAAAGCTAAAACTTCACTCACAAAGTGATTTACCAGAGAATAGCTCCAATATAGAATGTACTTGTATATTTTAAATGTGGAAGGTAATGTAAAGGATAAGACTGAAAATGTCTCTTTTATTTTTTTCTTTAATGACATTATTAAATTGTACTTTGTGTAGGCAACAGATCTTTGAACTACTACACCTTTATGAATGTTACTCAAAGCCTAAATTTTGTGCTTTAGAAAAACTTACAAAATTTGGGAGTGGGGGATGAAAACACGAGAATGAAGCTATAGCATATCTTCTACCTTACAAAATATCCACTCTGCTCTCTGCATTTGTGAGCAGAGAGAATGGGGGTGTAGGTTATAATTTTCACTGTTTCTCTGTTATTGCTGCTTTGTTTTTGTTTGAAGCATATGCAGTAAAATATGACTGTGATACAGAAATGGACGAGAGAATGATCAGAACAGTTTGACTTGTCGACTGTTATTTTCTCAGAAGCACCCAAGTCTTGCTTCATTTTACATACTGTTTTTAATTTAATGTAATATCGCTATTTTGAAAATCGGTAAAGGTCACACTGTATATCCATTAGTAATGCTTGATATTTCTAAAAGAGAATCAGTTTTGTAAATTCTTTCTTTAGTTTTGCTGAGTAAAGATGAATTTTGCTTTAATATTCAAATTTCATAATTTGAACTGCATACAAGTGTTGTTTTTTTTTTCAATCTAAAGAAAACTTCAGATACTTCAATGTATTTTTATTTTTTAGACATGTCTGTTCTAGTGCAAGAAGGTGAGTCTGACTTCTTGTTACACTGTTCTGTGCCTTTCTGTCTTAGGACTGGATGAAGGCTCTGCAGATGTTTTGCAGTTTAAGAAAAAACAGTCCAGGGAAATCCAATAAACGTCTACGTCAGGTGAAGCTATATAAATAATGGGGGGGGGGAGATTGTCTCCTTGTTGTAAAATGATGCTGATCTCAGAACTTTACTTTCAACAATAGCAAATCCTGCATGTACTTTCTTTCTTGGAGTTATGCAGTACCTTTGTTAAACCAACCGGAGTGAATTCCTGTTTGTTAACATAGAATGGCTTGGGTTGGAAGGGACCTTAAAGATCTAGTTCCAACCCCCTGCCACGGGCAGGGATGCCACCCACTAGATCAGATTGCCCAGGGACTCATCCAAGCTGGTCTTGAACACCTCCAAGGATGGGGCATCCACTACTTCTCTGGGCAACGTGGAGTGAAGAATTTCCTCCTAACCTCTAATCTAAATCTCCCCTCTTTTAGTTTAAAGCCATTCCCCCTTGTCTTGTCATTGTCTGCATGAGCAAAAAGTTGTTTTCCATCTTTTTTATGAGCCCCCTTTAGGTATTGAAAAGCTGCAATAAGGTCACCCCAGAGCCTTCTCTTCTTCAGGCTGAACAGCCTCAGCTCTCTCAGCCTTTCTTCGTAGGAGAGGCGCACCAGCCCAGTGGCGTGCTATCAACACGAATCTAAAACACAGCACCATATCAGCTGCTTTGAAGATAATTAACTCCATCCCAGCCAGAGCCAGCACAATCTCCACCACTTATTCCATACATTTGCATCATGCTCAAGTCCCACACTATCCACAATACATCCTCATTAATTACCACCCCCTTCCTGTCCTTTGACATATACACAGATATCATTCCCTTTGTCTATGGGAGGCCTCATTGAAGTGTTTATAAAAGGGACGTTGAGTTCATTTAGTCTGCGACTTTGACTCCATCTGTTATGGTGGTCACTCAGGACAGGAGAGGCAATGTGTTATGTCAAGTTATTGGGCACCAAAGCCAGCTCAGGTTGGCTTGCTGCTGCACTTCCCTGGCTTCTTCCAAGGCTCATCCTCCATTAGTTTGGGTGGTTCCTGTTACAGTACTTCCTATAACACACAACTCAAATCATGGATTACAGCAGTTTAAATGTATATCCATTACAATCTCCACCCCTTGTCCCTTTGGACTATGCTACAGAGTTTAACACTGCAATGAACTCCCTCCTTTTCCCCTGCTCCAGCATGGATCCTCTGTGGGCTACGGTCCCTTTTGGGGGTCTACCTGCTCTGGCATGGGCTTATGCACAGGCCACAGTCCCTTCACAGGTGTACCCGCTCTAGCGTGGATTTATCCGGTTACTTTGACTCCAGTTCATACCGGAGTTCTAACATGTATGGTACAGGTGCACTTGACTTTGTTCAGGCCTTGATAGTCCACAGTTAGCCTCCACTCTCCATCCGACCTTCACGCTGGACATATGGGACTACTAAAGGGTGAGCGAGTCTTCCTGAGCACTCCTGGGCTCCCCAGTCAATGAATCAGCTCATGGATGGGAACCAGGCAATCTCGGTGCATTATTGCCACTGATTCACTGTCATAGTAACAATTGGCACCTGCTGTTCTTTGACATGCAGCAACCTCACAACAGAAGAGTTTGGAAAAGGTAGACGGCTGTACAGCTGGGTAGAGCTCTTCTCTGTACCCAGGGCAACCACACCAAAAGCCTGCCAGTACCCTTCTGGGTCCCATCCTATAGGAAGGATGCACAGGGCCTCCAGGACAGTCACAGTGGAGTGCTTTTGCCACTCATTCCCAGTTAGGCTTACTTTGGCCTCCAATACAGTTAGCTGCTGGGATTCCCCTGTCACTCCAGAAATACCGATGGGTTCTGCCCCTTTATAGCTTGATGGCATTACGGTACACTGTGCACCAGTGTCCACTAGAGCCTTATACTCCTGTGGGTCTGATGCGTGAGGCCATTGAGTCCACACAGACTAATAAACCTGGTTGTCCCTTTCCTCCAGCTGGCTGGAGGCAGGGCGCCTCTAATCCTGGTCATTGCATTTGAATTCATTACTTGCTTCTTGTAAATGTGAATCGAATGTCCCTCCACTATAACCAGGAGTAAACTCAACCCATCTACTCTGTCTGGAGAACTGCCCAGTAGAAACTGGAACAGTAATTATCCTGGAAGAACACCCTTTTGTGATTGTTTTTCCTTGCAACTCACATACCCGTGCTTCTAGTATCAAGGTAGATTTATCATCCCACTTCCTCTCCTCATTTCCTCCCCGTGGTCACACATAAAACCACAGGGTGGCACGTGGTGTGCACCCACGATACCCTTTCCCTTGAGCAAAAAAGGCTGATTCCTAATAGCTGAGATACTGGCCGGTATGAAAAGGGAGGAAGTCATTCTCTTTGAGTTGCTGGACTTCTTGGAACAGTTTCTCTACAGCTGAGATACAGGCCCATAGGAAGGAAGAAAGATTCTCTTCTAATTGCCAGAGTTGGCTGGCCACTACATCCACTGTTGGTGCCTCTGTGTCTCATTATCACCAGAGTACTTGCGGATGATGATGGTGCACTCTGTACAATCTTCTGCCACATGGACCGTGTGCTCTGGACTTCATCTGGGTCTTTGGATACCTGATCATTGTCCAGGTTGCTATAGATCGCCTCCACCATAGCTAATTCGCTCAGGTACTTTATACTTCTCTTCATAGTTGTCCACTTGCCTGGGTGACATACGACATCTTCCTTGAAGGGATACCTTTCCTTCACGCCTGACAGGAGTTGCCTACAGAGGCTGAGGGCTTGTGCCTCTTTTCCAATCACTTTGTCAATGGCCCTTTCCCTAGAGGGATCCCAGCTGCTTGGCTTCCCCGTGTTCCTGGCTACTGGCCCCCTTATCCCAGCACTGGAGCAGCCAGGTGATTCACCTGGACAACGGCTGAAATCTTTTCGCATATCTCGCAGCGGTTTCTGACTCATAGAATGGCTTGGCTTGGAAGGGACCTTAAAGATCATCTAGTTCCAACCCCCTGCCATTAGCAGGGTTACCAACCACTAGAGCAGGCTGCCCAGAGCCGCATCTAGCCTGGCCTTGAATGCCTCCAGGGATGGGGCATCCACAACCTCTCTGGGCAACCAGGCTCAAGTGTTTTTATCATAGTTCTCCCAGGGGAAAAAAAAAAAAAAAAAAAAAAAAAAAAAAGTAGCAATAAACAGCGCAGCAAATTGCAAGAGCCGAAATCAGCCATTAAGAGCTCCTGGAATTTGATGTACAGCAAGAGAGGGAGGAAGCCACAGACCACATGAGGGAACAAATAAACAAACTAGTGTCCAGAACAGACAAAGCAACACTGTGACCAGCAACAAGTAACAACTTTCCAAGTAACAGCTAAACAGCTATAACTATAAATTCAGTCTAGCATGCACTGATCAAATCTATCATCTCCTCTAACCTCTTGAGCCTCATGTAGGGTGCCAGAAAGGATTGCAGTGAGTTGACCCCAGTCAACAGCCAACTGGGAAGACAAATGCTATAACTGCAAACACCAACTCCTTCTTCCTTTTCCTCCGAGCTTTTATTGCTGAGCATGACATTATATGGTATGAAATACCCCATTTCAGTTTTGGTCAGCTGTCCTGTTTGTGTGCCCTCCCAAACTCTTGTGCACCCCCAGCCTACTCATTTCTGACAGCAGAGTGGTAAAGAGGAGGAAAAAGAAGGAAACACGGACAGCACCATAAGGCTACTATGAAGAAAATTAACTCCATCCCAGCCAGACCCAGTAAGCATTGCAAAATTCAGCATTTTGATTAAAAGCTAATGATAGGGAAAGAAAATTGATAGTGTTTTGCACTTTTTATTTGGCAGTAAACTACGAAGACAAGTTATTTTAGCTTTTTTTTTTTTCTTAAAAAAAAAAAGGAACATAATAACCTGTGCATTTCCCTGATAGACATAAGTAAGCACAGCAGGGTGTCATTCTACCACCACCCATTTGTATTTTTAATGCTATTAATAATTCCATCTTTTTCACAGAGTAGGAGGACTAGAAAGAATTGGTAACCAGCTTAAATATGTACAACTGTCTACTAACTAGTGCTATTTTTTACCTCTTCAAGGAAATAATATATTGATTTTTTTGTTTATTCTTTTACTGACCCCTTAGATCTAGTAGCTTCTACCTCAAAGAAAAGCACGTGTACTAGCCAAAAGCTTTTGTGCAAAATGTGGGAGTCTATTACAGACCGCCTGGCCAGGACGATAGCGCCGATAACTTATTCTTTACAGAACTAAGAGAGGCCTCGAGATTAACTCCCCTTGTCCTTATGGGGGACTTCAACTTGCCAGACGTTAACTGGGAGTGCCACACGGCTGACACGAGCAAGTCCAGGAGGTTCATGAAGCACCTAGATGATAACTTCTTGGTGCAGGTGCTAACGGAGCCAACTAGGAAAGGTGCCCTCCTAGACCTGTTGCTAGAAAACAGAGAGGGTCTGGTGGGAGATGTGGTGATTGGTGGCCGCCTCGGTCATAGCGACCATGAAGTGGTTGAGTTCAAAATTTACGGTGACAGAAGGAAAAGTGCCACCAAAACCTCATCCCTAGATATGGGGAAGGCGGACTTCAGGCTGCTCGGGGAACTAGTCAGCAAGGTCCCCTGGGAAGCTGCTCTTGAAGGCCTTGATGTCCACCAGTGCTGGTCACTCTTTAAGCGATGCCTCCTAGAAGCACAAGATCAGGCAATTCCTAAATATCGCAAGTCAGGCAGGCGGGGCAGGAGGCCGTCGTGGCTGACCAGGAACATTCTTATGGAGATTAGGCGGAAACAGAGAGTGTTTCGCTACTGGAAGGAGGGCCAGGTGACATGGAAAGAATACAGGGATGCTGCTCGTGTCTGTAGGAAGAAAATTCGTGTGGCTAAAGCACACCTAGAGTTGAAGCTGGCTGTGTCTGTGAGAGAAAATAAAAAGGGTTTTTTTAGATATGTGAATGGAAAAAGGAGAACTAAAGAATACATAGGGCCGCTCCTTGACAGGGAAGGTCTTCTCACAGACGATGACATAGGCAAAGCAGAGACGCTTAACGCCTTCTTTGCCTCTGTCTTCAATGCCGATGATGGGCTTCGGGACCCAGGGTGCCCCGAGCTGGAGGACCGGGACGGTGGGGATGACAAACTCCCAACCGACCCTGAACGTGTGCGGGATCTGCTACTCCACCTGGATCCCTACAAGTCCATGGGTCCGGATGGGATTCATCCCCGGGTGCTGAAGGTGCTGGCGGACGTCATCGCGGAACCTCTCTCAATTATTTTTCAACGATCCTGGGAGTCTGGAGAGGTCCCGGTAGACTGGAAGCTGGCAAATGTTGTGCCGATTTTCAAGAAGGGTCAGAAAGAAGACCCTAGCAATTACAGGCCTGTCAGTCTCACATCAGTGCCTGGTAAAATCATGGAGAAGATGGTTCTCGAACGTATTGAGGCGCACCTGGGGGACAAAGCAGTCATTGGTCCCAGCCAGCATGGGTTTGTGAAGGGTAGGTCCTGCCTAACTAACCTGATTTCCTTTTATGATAAGATCACCCGTATGGTGGACCAAGGGAAACCAGCTGACGTGATTTTTTTGGACTTCAGCAAGGCTTTTGACACGGTTTCCCATAGGATCCTACTGGACAAAATGTCCAGCATACAGCTAAATAAAAACATCATACGATGGGTGAGCAATTGGCTAACGGGCAGGGCCCAAAGGGTTATGGTGAATGGGGCTGCGTCAGGCTGGCGGGCGGTCACCAGTGGGGTCCCTCAAGGCTCCATTTTAGGGCCGGTACTTTTCAATATTTTTATAAACGATCTGGATGTAGGAATAGAAGGCATTTTGAGCAAGTTTGCTGATGACACCAAACTTGGAGGAGTTGTGGACTCGAATGAGGGTGGAAAGGCCTTGCAGAGGGATCTGGATAGGTTGGAGAGCTGGGCGATCGCCAACCGCATGAAGTTCAATAAGAGCAAGTGCCGGGTCCTGCACCTGGGACGGGGAAACCCTGGCTGCATGTACAGACTGGGCGATGAGACGCTGGAGAGCAGCCTAGAAGAGAGGGATCTGGGGGTCGTGGTAGACAACAAGTTGAATATGAGCCGGCAGTGTGCCCTGGCAGCCAGGAGGGCCAACCGTGTGCTGGGGTGCATCAAGCACGGCATCGCTAGTAGGTCGAGGGAGGTGATTGTCCCGCTCTACTCTGCGCTGGTGCGGCCTCACCTCGAGTACTGTGTGCAGTTCTGGGCACCACAGTATAAAAAGGACATGAAACTGTTGGAGAGTGTCCAGAGGAGGGCTACGAAGATGGTGAAAGGCCTGGAGGGGAAGACGTACGAGGAACGGCTGAGGGCACTGGGCCTGTTCAGCCTGGAGAAGAGGAGGCTAAGGGGAGACCTCATCGCAGTCTACAACTTCCTCGTAAGGGGGTGTCGAGAGGCAGGAGACCTTTTCTCCATTAACACCAGCGACAGGACCCGCGGGAATGGAGTTAAGCTGAGGCAGGGGAAGTTTAGGCTGGACATCAGGAAGGGGTTCTTCACAGAGAGAGTGGTTGCACACTGGAACAGGCTCCCCAGGGAAGTGGTCACTGCACCGAGCCTGACTGAATTTAAGAAGAGATTGGACTGTGCACTTAGTCACATGGTCTGAACTTGGGTAGACCTGTGCGGTGTCAAGAGTTGGACTTGATGATCCTTAAGGGTCCCTTCCAACTCAGGATATTCTATGATTCTATGATTCTATGAAAATGCACGATTCATTCAAGTGTTTGGTTAGGTTTTTTCCTATCTATATTTGTGGTGGTTTCACCGTGCTGGGCAGCTAAACACCACAACCGCTCTCTCACTCCCCCTCCTTTAGATGAGGAGGGGGAGAAGTAAAGCAAAGAACAACTCAGGGGTTGAGATAAGGATAATTTAATTAAAGGGAAATAATAATAATAAAAAAAGATTATTATGAACTAAACAATTTAAAGGGAAAAAAAGGGAAAGGGGGAAAGTGAGGGAGAAAGGGAAAAAAAAAGGAGGAATACAAACAAATAAAACAAATGAAGGCTATGTGGAAGTGCAGAGGAAAGAAATTACTCTCTACTTCCCACAAATGAGAGATGATTGACCACGTCCTTGAAGCAGGGCCTCAACGCACGCAGCCGGTGTTCGGGAGGAGGACTGACGTTTTCATGAGAGCCCACCCCTCCCCTCTTCTTCCTGTTTCCACCTTTTATTGCTGAGTGTGACATCATATGGTATGCAATATCCCTTTGGTTGGTTTAGGTCAGCTGCCCTGGTGATGTTTCTCTTCTCACTTTTTGCCCACCCCCTAGGAGGGTTAGAGAGAGTCCTGATGCTGTGCCAGCACTGCTCAGCAGTAGACACAACACTGGTGTGATACCACTGCTGTTCTAGCTACAAGTGCAGAGCACAGCACTGTATGGGCTGCTGCAGGGAAAGTTAACTCCCCAGCCAGACCCAGTACAATATTCCTCTGCTCATGAAACAGTTCTAAAGTATCACAGAATCATAGAATGGCCTGGGTTGAAAAGGACCTTAAAGACCATCTAGTTTCAACCCCCCTGCCATGGGCAGGGTTGCCAACCACTAGAGCAGGCTGCCCAGAGCTGCATCCAGCCTGGCCTTGAATGCCTCCAGGGATGGGGCATCCACAACCTCTCTGGGCAAACCTGTTCCAGTGCCTCACCACCCTCTGAGTGAAAAACTTCCTCCTAATATATAACTTAAATCTCTCCTGTCTTAGTTTAAGGTGTCAAGAGTGGGATAGAAACCCATGCCTCCATTGGAGACTGCATAGTTAGTCTATGAACTGATTAGAATAAGATGAACCAATAAGAACACCACTTTCTGGTGCAATTTAACTCTCACAAACAAGAATTTTCAAGTACAAATTTGAACACAAAATTGCAAACTTACGGAGGTAGTATCTCTGCAGCCATGAATATTTTCTCCACCAATTCTGAAAGTATACTGAGTAGATGTGCCAAATTAGTGTTTATATCTTCATTTTTTTCTAATTTTGAGGGATTTAACTAAAATGAAAAGAGAAAAAGACAAAGTTTCTTCTCTTGAATATAGCTTCATATATAACTTGACAACATTACACAATGAATACTTTTTCAAACTAAATATTATACTGCTGTACGAATTTCAGACTTCTACAGGGCTTCCAGATCTGCTTGAAGGGCTAGCAAGGAAATTAATATGAAAAAGCAATGCTTTTAAGTTCTAGCACACTATGCTTCTAAAATCATAGACATTTAACACTATCCATAACTACCTTTTTTTTTTTTTAAAAAAAACCACCTACATCTATTTTCATATCTTTTAATCCAATCTTCTGAGGACCCCTCATCCTTTCCATAATTAAGTTGAATTGAAACAGAAGTTAGGAGTATAGTTTAAAAAAAAAAAAAAAGAGAGGATCTACAACAAGGTGTTAATATAAGGGAGTTTTAAAATAAAACTACAATCAGACATTGACTTCTAGACTATCTGGAGCTTACCAAAAGTTATTTACATTAGGGCATTCAGTAACTGTTAGAAAATAACCTACAACTGCTAAAGAATAAATTATAATTTAAATACATTTGAGTTAAACTTATTTAAAAGTGATATTATGAACATTTTTCAAGACAATATTTTAAAAAATCTCATAAGTATTTCAGTTCCTGTATTACTCATATAAATGAAATTATTTCTGAAGGATTAATAAATGCTTCCAAAACAAACAAACAAAACATAACTAGTAGATCATTTTAACAAATCAAAATGTAAAAACAAAACAAAAAAAATCAACACATAATTAAAGATATCACCTCACAGGACTGCTTGCTCTCCATTATCTTTAATATACAGTCTTTCAGTGCATGGTGAACAAAACGTGTTGCTGTGGCTTTCATATACTGCTCCATAAGTGTACTTGCTAAAGTGGTGGCACGAAACAAAGTAGTAGCTTCATCTGGAAAAACAAGGAAAAAAGGAAAAAAAAAAAGATGAAACTGAAAAGTTGAGAAAAGGAGACAAAAAAAGCAGAGGAAAAATATGTTGTCCTCAGTTTGATATGCCTCTCTTAGTTAAGGGAGGAAACAGAAACGAAGACATGGGAGTCCTTCCCTCCCCAGTTCCAGTAAATGTCAGTGTAATTAGTACAGTACCTTCCATGCTTATTTCCTTGTCATTTAGTGTTCTTAACAATAGTGACTCAAGCTTTTCATGAAGAAAAATCTTCAATAAAATGCCAGCCAAGAGTGTTCTATCCTGTCCACAAACATGTGATAAGGCATAGACTACATGCAACTCTTTCTGAAGTATGAGCTGAAAGAAAAACAAAATAATGTTCAGAAACTTCTCCTAACATGACAGCTTTGGAAAAATGGATATTATATATCTATAGTGACATACAGATATCACTACAAATACTACTTAATGTATTAGTGTTACTGAAATCTCTCTCAAACAGAGAAAATTAATTTTGACAGAAATTGGGGAAACAAACTTAATACCTCTTTAAACTCACTATACTCCTCTTCTGGCATGATCTTCTCCATAGAATATCGTGCTCGAACACGCAAAGATCCTGGCTCAATACCCTTTAGTGGTATATGGGAACTGAGTTGAAACCACTCATCTGTTGCATGTCCTTTCTGTAATCGGCTTAATTGGCAACGCATAAACACTTCAGGAAAAAAGCATTAAGTAGGTTATTTTCAGCAAACAGTGAGAGAAGTGAATTTTAAAAAGTTTATTTTCAGCATGTCATCTTGTTTCATCAAAAGAGTATTAATAAAAGTAATCAAAATTTGTGCCATCAAATATATTAACAGATTATCCCTTAGATGATTTAGCACTCCTGTAAACTGAAGATGAAACATAAAACATGTTGTAAATAATGTATACATATACATTCCTTAATGCAACAGATATGAATATAGTTTTCTTTGTAACACCCAAATAGTGGAAAAAGTAAACACAAAACACCCCCACAAAAAGCCAAACAATACAAAACTACCTAACAAACCTAGGCAGCATCAGAAATTTAAAACAGGTAGTGTGATTAGAATTCACTGCATTCTTTAAAGCCTTGGGCTCATACTTCTATCAGTTCTGATCTTCAACCACTTTGTTACTATTTTAACTTATTTATTATTAGCATTACTACATTTTTCCCAAATGTTGCCATATGTATTTCTTTAATACTTCGGAAATCCCAGGTTAAGGCTGTAACAGTGTAGGCAAGACATATAAAAAATCATTCCCAGACAGCTTATTGCCCAAATCAACCCAAGAATGACAAAATCATTAATTCACTTTTTTTTTTGGTGGTGTTGGTACCTAAAGTTACCAAGCAATAACCTGTACAAGCCTATTCAACCATAACTGAAAGTCTGGTCTGACAGCTAAGTATTAAGCTGCAGCAGTCAGACCACTGACCATTCTAAAATAAGCATGTGCTCTCCTGAACTGAGTTATTTCACATGGAAAGGGTCCAGATGCTTGCAGAGACAACATTCTACCTATGAAAAATACCCAGTGTTTCAAGAGGGGATACACAGTTGGTGTTCCACATTTAGCCTGTCATTTAGCCATGTTAGACTGTCTGGTAGTTCCTTTTTCTGTGCCTCTTAATGTGATCTACTTTTACTGAAGTCCCTCACATAAAAATAAATACAAAATTAAATAATAATGGAAAAACACATACCATACAACACCCCCCCCCAAAGAACAACCAAAAAACCCATACCACCTCATACCAACCACACCACACTTATTTTTCACTTTTCTACAAAGCCTTGCAGAAATGAACAATTCTAGTAGACTTTCTACTGTCATGATTCTACGATATATGTTGAGACATCGTTTGCATAATCAGAAAATGGAACAGAATAACATCACATTTATAATAGACTCTTCATATTTCATATTCTTCGGAGTTGATGTACTGATAAGGTAACACATTCAAGTCAGTCAAGTAGCGGGTAAACAAATTCATTATCTGCTACTTATCACAAGTGTGGATAGGACTGTCTTTAGACCAGATTAAAAAAAAAATTGACTTTCCCAGAATATTACTTCAGAGCACAGCTCATGTCCACAACTGAGCAATGCGCTTCATTCCTGTTTTGCTTGCACATATAAGTCATGTATCTCATTGACAGGAACAGTGAAATGATACACAATTTAGAATAATCTGATGATTTAATTTTTCCCATGGTTATACAGTATACTTACTAGCGATAATACAAATCCTATGATCTTGCTTTGATCTTAAAAGATCAAAACAGAAATATTGATATATGGATTACAGAATAGTAGTTATAATTTATATTCAAATACTTTAAAGGAACACTTTCTCCTACTTAGCAAATTATGTTGAATCATTAGGTTACATTCATTAAGAGACTGCCATTAGTTGAAAATTTAAGGACATTTACACTTTGCACATTACAAATAGAAAATACAAATGTTCAGAAAAACATCAGTAGTTGATCCTTTCTCTTCAAGCACAGTTAAGAACTATATACAACAATCTTGATCCAAGAATCAGAATATTTTAAATTATTAATATTAGCACAAAAAAGAAAACAGAAAAGAAAAGCACTTGGAACAAATCTTGGAAGGGAGAGGTGTATGCACTGCAGGCAACGAGAGAGAAAGTAAAGTTATTCAAGGTATTACACAATACCTTGAATAAAAGAAAGCCTAAAAAAACACATTGTGTGGTTGAGAAAGCTTTTTTTTTTTTTTCTTTTTGAAATCTGGTAAGTCTTAACATCTTATTAAGAGTTTGTTGGAATAGAAGAATAGAAACAAAACAACTGAAGAAGCTGTATAGACAACAGGAGGAAAGTAAATTCTTGGGAACATCTATAAGAGGCAGAAAGAAACACCATCCTTTTTGATTCAAAGTGATGATACTGAGGTAACTTTAGTTATAAGGCCAAGAGTGGTACATGGAAGGTACACAAGATGACACAGAACCAAGGTGGGGATATGACATGGGACCGAGACAACTTTTGTTCTATAGACTGCTGAGTTGGATTTTTTGTTTATTTTTAAGCAAGGAAAGTACTAGCTTTCCTCCCTCTTTCTCACTGGAAGCAACAAAGTCTGTAAAGGACAACAAATTCTACACAGTAAGGATTGAATCAGATTAAAGATATTAAGTTAGTGAAAATTCACATCTTATAGGGCAGATTAATTTTGACAGCTTCTCTTTCCTCTTGTTTTTGCATATTTTTGCAAACATTGTCACAATATAATAAAATAGGTATTCTGGAATAGAGCTACAAAAGCCATCAGATATATAGAATTGGATTATTGTGCATTTTACTACTAAAAATATGCATGTTATTATGCAAAAATAAATGCAGTCAGTAACATATTCAAAACAAAATATACAGCTGTATGGTAACCACAGAACATACTTAATTGCTTTGTAACCATATTTGAAAAGAGCAATGAAAATTGCACAAAGTATCCATTTTTGCAATATATATTCTTCTTTTACAGAAAAATACTTACATATATCTGGATCTTTACTTTTCTTTGTTTTGTTACTAAGACTTATCTCAAATCTATTAATATCAGATGAAAGATCACTAGGAGAAAAGACAGAAAGCCTTAATTAATACCATACTTCTCCAACTTTTAATCTTATTCTAAAAGTTATTTAAACCTGAGTTCTCATGATTAGCTAGACATTTATATTAACATAGATATTTAGGTGCATACATAAAATTCTACCCATGCATTTGTGACTGAAAGATGCCTGCTATATAGCCATGCATGCAGTATTTTTAAAAAAGCTTATGAAAAACAGTAGAGTGTAAAGAATCTTCAAAGTTGCATTGAATTTGAGTGAAATTCAGGAATTTGATAGGAAAGACTTACTCAAAGACAAATTCTTCTGACCATACAGGGTTCTGCCCTTCCCTGATATGTGTTTTTGCTACCTGGACACTGTTCAGGTAGATGTTACAATACGGATTAGTAAAATGTTTTACTGGGAGTGTATGAGCTTCTTCTACATGCAAAATAAGACTGCTGACCTAAAGAAAATACAAAAAAAATATTTCTAAATAAATAAAATAAACAAACAAACAAATACCCCCCCACACACGTGAAGGTTTAATGTCAAGATACAAATATAAAATACAAACTACAATTTCCTAATTGAAAGAACAAGAAACAGGAGTAATGGAACAAGATTTTAAGAGCAACTCAAATAACAACTGAAAATAAATCTCCAGCACCATAGCTTTAACTCATTTTTTCCTTTTAAAAGCCACAATATGAGACATCAAGTTTTACAAGTGTTAACTTCTCTATACATAGAAAATTCTACTGAAGTCAGAGACCTGTATCTCAAATAAGAGCCATGGACAGTTCCAAACCCAATGCCATATCTGGTGCTTTCCTAACAGATTATACAGAATTCTGTTATTCAACACACTACACTGTTTTCTCCCTGTTCAAAGGGGGATACTAATCTGTACTATAGATTCTCAAAATAATAGCAACCCAATTTCCAGAAAATGAAAAGCAAACTCTGAAATCATTTACATTAAATGTTTTAAGCGGTCTTTTATTTTACAAATTTCTGAATTGCATACAGTTCACAGATTAATCTGACATCTACTAATATCAGCTCAAGTAAAATTAGACAAATACAAGAAATATCACACTTGAAAGGGTCAACATTCCATTTAAATTCAAATATTCAGTAACAGAATTTTCAAAGGACAGTTCAAACATTGAAAAGATCTTTATATAACAATTCAGAATAAAGTTTCCTTAAAGTCCTTTAGACATAAAAATTTTTACTTAGCAAACAGCACTGTTTAGCAGACATGGACCAAATGACGTCCATAGGTCCCTTCCAATTTAAACCACTCTGTGAAACACTGGAGACTTATTTTCCTTTATACTTTGGAAAACGTGCAAACAAACTAATTCACGTAGCACCTGCTTCACTTTCTGAGGAATACCGCCCCAGCCCCAATGGTGTAGGGCTTGAAACCTTGAAATCTCAAGAGGCATGGAATCTTGTTGAAGTGAAAGAATGCTTGAAGAAAGGATGCCTATATATCAGAGACACAATTTTTTAGCACTGTGCTGGGACCTGGCCTACTCCTACTGATCCTCTGGCACTTGCTTGAAGGGCTCAAGAGGGTATGAAGACTTATAAATGCATACTGGCTAAGCCAGTGATCTAACCCTCAGCTGTAACAGTTGCTCCTATAGTCTAGAAGAAACAATGGAAGCGGAGGTTGTCTCAGGTAGCAGGGAAAGAAAAAGCTCTTTCTGAGAGGGAGCAGGATGAAGAATCAAAAGAGGCAGCCTGCACTGCAGCAGAGCAATTGCAAGAACAGGAAGGGGATGAGACAGAAATCATAAACAAGTCCTTTGCTTCAGTCTTCACTGCCAGTCAGGCTTCCCACATCTCTTGAATCCCTGAACCTCTAGGTGAGGGTTAGGGGAGCAAAGTCCTTCCCAATGAAAGCAAAGAGCAGGTTCAAGACCACCTGATGAATCTGAACAGATACAAATCTGTGGGGCCCGATGGCATGCATCCCAGTGCCCTGAGGGAACTGGCTGATGTAGTTGACAAGCCTCTCTCCATCATATTTGAAAAGTCCTGGCAGTCAGGCAAAGTCCCTGGTAACTGGAAAAAGGGAAACATCACTCCCATTTTGAAAAAGGGTAGAAAGGAAGACCCAGGGAACTACAGACTGGTGAGCTTCACCTCTGTGCCTGGGAAGATCATGGAACAGATCCTCCTGGAAGCAATGTCAAAGCATGTGCAGGACAAGGTGATCCGAGAAAGCCAGCATGGCTTCACCAAGGGCAAATCATGCCTGACCAATCCGATGGTCTTCTATGATGGAGTGAGATACAACAGAAGGAAGGGTTGCCATCCAAAGGGACCTGGACAAGCATGAGAAGTGGGCCCATGTGAATCTAATGAGGTTCAACAAGGCCAAGTGCAAGGTGCTGTACCTGGGTCGGGGGAAACCCGGACATGAGTACAGACTGGGAGAAGAACACATTGAGAGCAGCCCTGCAGAGAAGGACTTGGGGGTTGTGGTGGACAAAAAGCTTGACATGAGCCAGCAGTGAACGCTTGCAGCCCAGAAGGCCGACTACATCCTGGGCTGCATCAACAGAGGCATGACCAGCAGGCTGAGGGAGGTGATTGTCCCCCTCTACTCTGCCCTTGTGAGGTCCCACTTGGAGTACTGTGTCCAGGTCTGGGGCTCCCAGCACTAGGATGTGGACCTGTTCGAGAGGGTCCAGCACTAGTTAGTAGACAGTTGTACATATTTAAGCTGGTTACCAATTCTTTCTAGTCCTCCTACTCTGTGAAAAAGATGGAATTATTAATAGCATTAAAAATACAAATGGGTGGTGGTAGAATGACACCCTGCTGTGCTTACTTATGTCTATCAGGGAAATGCACAGGTTATTATGTTCCTTTTTTTTTTTAAGAAAAAAAAAAAAAAGCTAAAATAACTTGTCTTCGTAGTTTACTGCCAAATAAAAAGTGCAAAACACTATCAATTTTCTTTCCCTATCATTAGCTTTTAATCAAAATGCTGAATTTTGCAATGCTTACTGGGTCTGGCTGGGATGGAGTTAATTTTCTTCATAGTAGCCTTATGGTGCTGTCCGTGTTTCCTTCTTTTTCCTCCTCTTTACCACTCTGCTGTCAGAAATGAGTAGGCTGGGGGTGCACAAGAGTTTGGGAGGGCACACAAACAGGACAGCTGACCAAAACTGAAATGGGGTATTTCATACCATATAATGTCATGCTCAGCAATAAAAGCTCGGAGGAAAAGGAAGAAGGAGTTGGTGTTTGCAGTTATAGCATTTGTCTTCCCAGTTGGCTGTTGACTGGGGTCAACTCACTGCAATCCTTTCTGGCACCCTACATGAGGCTCAAGAGGTTAGAGGAGATGATAGATTTGATCAGTGCATGCTAGACTGAATTTATAGTTATAGCTGTTTAGCTGTTACTTGGAAAGTTGTTACTTGTTGCTGGTCACAGTGTTGCTTTGTCTGTTCTGGACACTAGTTTGTTTATTTGTTCCCTCATGTGGTCTGTGGCTTCCTCCCTCTCTTGCTGTACATCAAATTCCAGGAGCTCTTAATGGCTGATTTCGGCTCTTGCAATTTGCTGCGCTGTTTATTGCTACTTTTTTTTTTTTTTTTTTTTTTTTTTTTTCCCCTGGGAGAACTATGATAAAAACACTTGAGCCTGGTTGCCCAGAGAGGTTGTGGATGCCCCATCCCTGGAGGCATTCAAGGCCAGGCTAGATGCGGCTCTGGGCAGCCTGCTCTAGTGGTTGGTAACCCTGCTAATGGCAGGGGGGTTGGAACTAGATGATCTTTAAGGTCCCTTCCAAGCCAAGCCATTCTATGAGTCAGAAACCGCTGCGAGATATGCGAAAAGATTTCAGCCGTTGTCCAGGTGAATCACCTGGCTGCTCCAGTGCTGGGATAAGGGGGCCAGTAGCCAGGAACACGGGGAAGCCAAGCAGCTGGGATCCCTCTAGGGAAAGGGCCATTGACAAAGTGATTGGAAAAGAGGCACAAGCCCTCAGCCTCTGTAGGCAACTCCTGTCAGGCGTGAAGGAAAGGTATCCCTTCAAGGAAGATGTCGTATGTCACCCAGGCAAGTGGACAACTATGAAGAGAAGTATAAAGTACCTGAGCGAATTAGCTATGGTGGAGGCGATCTATAGCAACCTGGACAATGATCAGGTATCCAAAGACCCAGATGAAGTCCAGAGCACACGGTCCATGTGGCAGAAGATTGTACAGAGTGCACCATCATCATCCGCAAGTACTCTGGTGATAATGAGACACAGAGGCACCAACAGTGGATGTAGTGGCCAGCCAACTCTGGCAATTAGAAGAGAATCTTTCTTCCTTCCTATGGGCCTGTATCTCAGCTGTAGAGAAACTGTTCCAAGAAGTCCAGCAACTCAAAGAGAATGACTTCCTCCCTTTTCATACCGGCCAGTATCTCAGCTATTAGGAATCAGCCTTTTTTGCTCAAGGGAAAGGGTATCGTGGGTGCACACCACGTGCCACCCTGTGGTTTTATGTGTGACCACGGGGAGGAAATGAGGAGAGGAAGTGGGATGATAAATCTACCTTGATACTAGAAGCACGGGTATGTGAGTTGCAAGGAAAAACAATCACAAAAGGGTGTTCTTCCAGGATAATTACTGTTCCAGTTTCTACTGGGCAGTTCTCCAGACAGAGTAGATGGGTTGAGTTTACTCCTGGTTATAGTGGAGGGACATTCGATTCACATTTACAAGAAGCAAGTAATGAATTCAAATGCAATGACCAGGATTAGAGGCGCCCTGCCTCCAGCCAGCTGGAGGAAAGGGACAACCAGGTTTATTAGTCTGTGTGGACTCAATGGCCTCACGCATCAGACCCACAGGAGTATAAGGCTCTAGTGGACACTGGTGCACAGTGTACCGTAATGCCATCAAGCTATAAAGGGGCAGAACCCATCGGTATTTCTGGAGTGACAGGGGAATCCCAGCAGCTAACTGTATTGGAGGCCAAAGTAAGCCTAACTGGGAATGAGTGGCAAAAGCACTCCACTGTGACTGTCCTGGAGGCCCTGTGCATCCTTCCTATAGGATGGGACCCAGAAGGGTACTGGCAGGCTTTTGGTGTGGTTGCCCTGGGTACAGAGAAGAGCTCTACCCAGCTGTACAGCCGTCTACCTTTTCCAAACTCTTCTGTTGTGAGGTTGCTGCATGTCAAAGAACAGCAGGTGCCAATTGTTACTATGACAGTGAATCAGTGGCAATAATGCACCGAGATTGCCTGGTTCCCATCCATGAGCTGATTCATTGACTGGGGAGCCCAGGAGTGCTCAGGAAGACTCGCTCACCCTTTAGTAGTCCCATATGTCCAGCGTGAAGGTCGGATGGAGAGTGGAGGCTAACTGTGGACTATCAAGGCCTGAACAAAGTCAAGTGCACCTGTACCATACATGTTAGAACTCCGGTATGAACTGGAGTCAAAGTAACCGGATAAATCCACGCTAGAGCGGGTACACCTGTGAAGGGACTGTGGCCTGTGCATAAGCCCATGCCAGAGCAGGTAGACCCCCAAAAGGGACCGTAGCCCACAGAGGATCCATGCTGGAGCAGGGGAAAAGGAGGGAGTTCATTGCAGTGTTAAACTCTGTAGCATAGTCCAAAGGGACAAGGGGTGGAGATTGTAATGGATATACATTTAAACTGCTGTAATCCATGATTTGAGTTGTGTGTTATAGGAAGTACTGTAACAGGAACCACCCAAACTAATGGAGGATGAGCCTTGGAAGAAGCCAGGGAAGTGCAGCAGCAAGCCAACCTGAGCTGGCTTTGGTGCCCAATAACTTGACATAACACATTGCCTCTCCTGTCCTGAGTGACCACCATAACAGATGGAGTCAAAGTCGCAGACTAAATGAACTCAACGTCCCTTTTATAAACACTTCAATGAGGCCTCCCATAGACAAAGGGAATGATATCTGTGTATATGTCAAAGGACAGGAAGGGGGTGGTAATTAATGAGGATGTATTGTGGATAGTGTGGGACTTGAGCATGATGCAAATGTATGGAATAAGTGGTGGAGATTGTGCTGGCTCTGGCTGGGATGGAGTTAATTATCTTCAAAGCAGCTGATATGGTGCTGTGTTTTAGATTCGTGTTGATAGCACGCCACTGGGCTGGTGCGCCTCTCCTACGAAGAAAGGCTGAGAGAGCTGAGGCTGTTCAGCCTGAAGAAGAGAAGGCTCTGGGGTGACCTTATTGCAGCTTTTCAATACCTAAAGGGGGCTCATAAAAAAGATGGAAAACAACTTTTTGCTCATGCAGACAATGACAAGACAAGGGGGAATGGCTTTAAACTAAAAGAGGGGAGATTTAGATTAGAGGTTAGGAGGAAATTCTTCACTCCACGTTGCCCAGAGAAGTAGTGGATGCCCCATCCTTGGAGGTGTTCAAGACCAGCTTGGATGAGTCCCTGGGCAATCTGATCTAGTGGGTGGCATCCCTGCCCGTGGCAGGGGGTTGGAACTAGATCTTTAAGGTCCCTTCCAACCCAAGCCATTCTATGTTAACAAACAGGAATTCACTCCGGTTGGTTTAACAAAGGTACTGCATAACTCCAAGAAAGAAAGTACATGCAGGATTTGCTATTGTTGAAAGTAAAGTTCTGAGATCAGCATCATTTTACAACAAGGAGACAATCTCCCCCCCCCCATTATTTATATAGCTTCACCTGACGTAGACGTTTATTGGATTTCCCTGGACTGTTTTTTCTTAAACTGCAAAACATCTGCAGAGCCTTCATCCAGTCCTAAGACAGAAAGGCACAGAACAGTGTAACAAGAAGTCAGACTCACCTTCTTGCACTAGAACAGACATGTCTAAAAAATAAAAATACATTGAAGTATCTGAAGTTTTCTTTAGATTGAAAAAAAAAACAACACTTGTATGCAGTTCAAATTATGAAATTTGAATATTAAAGCAAAATTCATCTTTACTCAGCAAAACTAAAGAAAGAATTTACAAAACTGATTCTCTTTTAGAAATATCAAGCATTACTAATGGATATACAGTGTGACCTTTACCGATTTTCAAAAATAGCGATATTACATTAAATTAAAAACAGTATGTAAAATGAAGCAAGACTTGGGTGCTTCTGAGAAAATAACAGTCGACAAGTCAAACTGTTCTGATCATTCTCTCGTCCATTTCTGTATCACAGTCATATTTTACTGCATATGCTTCAAACAAAAACAAAGCAGCAATAACAGAGAAACAGTGAAAATTATAACCTACACCCCCATTCTCTCTGCTCACAAATGCAGAGAGCAGAGTGGATATTTTGTAAGGTAGAAGATATGCTATAGCTTCATTCTCGTGTTTTCATCCCCCACTCCCAAATTTTGTAAGTTTTTCTAAAGCACAAAATTTAGGCTTTGAGTAACATTCATAAAGGTGTAGTAGTTCAAAGATCTGTTGCCTACACAAAGTACAATTTAATAATGTCATTAAAGAAAAAAATAAAAGAGACATTTTCAGTCTTATCCTTTACATTACCTTCCACATTTAAAATATACAAGTACATTCTATATTGGAGCTATTCTCTGGTAAATCACTTTGTGAGTGAAGTTTTAGCTTTCAAAACCTTCCACAAAAGGAAGAACTTTCAACTATGCATTTTTTTTTTGTAGCTTGTTTCCTTATCCAAATAAGGAAAAGCAATTGAAGACCCACAGAACCTCCTAAATACTCTAAATTAATATAAATATTTCCTAGATATATACTCCTCTTTATTCCCCCTCCTAACAAGAAAACTTTTCCCCTTAAATTCCAAAGTTTACACTAGCATGAGTAATGCACCATGGCATGTACAGTGACACTAGTATATGAGGCTACATTTCACATTACATTCACAAATGTTTTGTACAAACATCAAAGACATCATGCAATCCATTGGACATCTGCTTTGATATTTACCACATTATATGAAAACTGGCAAGTTTTCCTTAATATACCAACAAAACTATTCTTCCATGAAATTTTACAAGGTACAGACAACTGAAACTTCTGAAATCGGAAGCATCTGTAAAACAATTGATGTGCCTTACCAAGAATAATTTTATAAATGAAATCCTATAAATGCAGTGAACAGCTTAAATGTTAAGCAAGTCTAACCCAAAAGCAGATTATACCAAACGGTCAGAAAACAGGACAGAATATTCTGCCTACTGCACGTTCTTAAATAAAATCAAATGCAAAGGTTAACTTCTAACACAGGTATTTCAGAGCCATGGAATACCAAAACAACTTAATGATTAAGAACATTATCGCATCTTACATACGTTCTTCTGTCGGTGGGTGACTTTTAGAGAATTAGGCTCCACTCCTACAATTTTTAATCTGCAAACGTTAATTGCTAGAGAGCTAATAACTAAATGATAGTAATTAAAAAATAAATAAATCTTACTTTTCATGCAAAATCAGTGCCCAAGAATTTAAACAACCACCAATTTATGGTCAGGACAAATAACTGTAAAATGCTCAGCAAATTCTGATCGCTGGACATACCTGCATCAGCATTTTTGTTCACATCAAGAAGCACTCTTGAAGGAAAACTCCCCACTTACCATGCTTTGGTTCATAACATAGAAGATTCTTGGAGAGCAAACAAATTTTTTTTGGACTGAACTACTCCAAAAGATAATTCTCCAGAAATATTTTAGGGAAACTAATGAGAGTTCAGTGCATGAGACCAGACTAAAACTTGTCCAAAGTAAAATCCCCATAGCTACATTCTCAGCATCAACAATTTCCCTTACAGATCTGCTACTTGCATGGTAATATTTGTTAATGTAGACATAGCTACCATCTGTGGTAGGCATGCTTTCTATTACAGAAGGGAAATATTAAACAAAATTTCTATTACAGAAGGGAAATATTAAACATTACAAGACAAAAAAAATTGCTTTTAAAATTATATTTATCAACAAAATCTCTCACCTGTGTTTGTTCTGGAGTTTCTCCTGCAAAGTAAAAGATGTAATGCTCTTCGCTGAAGTGCTGAACTACTATTTGAAAACAGTTTGGCCTTAATAAAGGAACAAAACCCATAAGGTTTATTAATCTTTATAGCATTGACAAATGCCTCCATTTCTTGATATCTGCCAAATCAAAGTTCACACTGAACTAATACATTTCTGATGTTTGACTGTATAGAGCATTGAACACAGAGTAGTTTCAACCCCCCAATTTAGCTTTCTAATACCTATCAGCAAAAGAATGCAGATCTTTTGGAATTGACAAAATCCTTGATCTTATCAATTTTTGATTCAATAGGATTAAAACCCTCAATAGAGTTGCTTCATAATCTTTTTAATGCCTGTAATACAAAATGGGGAACAATTAATACACAATATTGAAAAATGACGATGCAATAGTCCAAGTCATTATTACACACAAGACAATCTTAAGACTAAGTTCTAAAATTTCTTACTAGAATTTGTTTATGAACAGTTGCTAGCAATCAAGTTGCCATGGCTTAACAAGTTACCATTTTCAGTTAAATCTGTCTACATACACTCTTGCAATCTACACCAACTATGGAATAAAACACAATATAAACCAACAGTCACAATGCTTACATTTCACAATCAGAAAACAAACAAACAAACAAAAAAAACCCACCTTGTTCATTACTGACATATTGTCCATGTACCGTACATGCCTCAAACTACCAGTTAACTGCCCTGCTGCATGTACAAGCATTAAAAAATCAGTGTCGTACCTGCCAAATAAACTGTCATGTACTCCATAGATGGAACACACACTAAGGTCTATTAAACCTTTAGGTTTTGTGGCTCGTTTTTCACTTTCAAAATAAATAAGATGGGCATCATTTCCCTCCAATATAAAGTACAAGTTTTTCCATCTCTTCCCCTTACCTGTAAAAAAGCAAGTAGGAAGTTACAATATTGTTTTAAAGAAAATATAAATTTTGTAAATGAAGAAAAAAGAGGGCAGTAAGGTTTTTGTCAAAATACAAACAGAAAAACAACATACAGTTAACCATGCTTAAGCAGTAATATCAGTATGCATATGCAATGTTTTCTGCAACATCTAGCTAAAAACAGTCCCTCTTCACATGTTCAGGTACAATTGTAGATGGTTCTCTAAACATTTTCATTAATCTCAACAGGATTAAGCAAGTGCACGAGCTGCCCAGACAACTCCATTCATATCAATGAGAAGACTGACTATGCAGTTCGCAAATAATGTGTGATGCTGTAAACAATCCAAATTAATAAAGCTATTTTAAATTAAGAAACGGATTTCTCCTGACATGAGAAAATTATTCCTAAACTCTTACTAACTGCTCAGCATAACAAATTGCATCACGATATCTTAAAACCGTATCACTACAGAATAGAAATAGGAACATAATATACACATACTTGAATCAGAACCAAACCTGAACCCAAACACACCTATATCCAAGAATTTGGCCAGTTCCACGTTTCAGAGAAAAACGTAAAAACATAAGACACAGTACCTTTTAGAAAAGCATTCAGCATTAATTTTCAACTTGATCATCATAGATCTACCACATACCTTCATAAACAAGGACTAGAACTCACAGTTTTGGAAAACCTACTTTAACATCTAGTCATACTCTACTAGATGGAAGAGTGATTTTATTAATTTTTTGTTCTATATGCAGGTACGTGTCTCTCTCCATACCTATTCAGTACTCCTGCTTGCACATGTAAAGTATCTCAGTATCCCTTTTAGCTAAAATTTTATTTATTTATTTTTAAAAGTTTATTCTCAGCTAATTCCTCAACTCTACCACAGCCCTCTACATCTTATCTCAGAATTAACACCCTCAAGAGAAGAGGTGCTTTCCTTGCTTTATTCAGAGGATCTAGTTTTTATTTCCTCTGAATGCATCTTTTATATTTGACTATATCTAAGTGCTTGCCTTCTTTCTCATTTTTGCTCGCTATCCAGACCATTATCTGGAACTTATTGTTTAAGTTACGGTCTTCGTCATTTCTAGAAACATTATTTTTTATTTATGTTTAATTTTTAAATGTTTGTTGTATTGCTGATCATTAAAATCAGCTTTAGCAGAAACAAAAAAAATAAAACCATGATACTTGGTAAGGGACTAGCTTCCTTGGAACTCCAACACCTTATTCAATGGCAATTCTTTAAGGATATATTGGGATGAGTCAGGCAGCTTTTAATCCAATTACTGTACATTACGTTGACTGTGTCAGTGTTAGACAGAACTTTAATAGTTCTGTCTATACAGAACTACTACTACTAAGTTCTGTCTGTACAGAACTACCCAGAACACACATTTTAAATTACACATATTACCTAACTTGGAATAACAAAATTAAACCAGCTCTGGTCTCCAATGAACGCACTGATTTACATTAATCTAGCTCTCTAACTCATGCCATCAGCTTAAATTTAAATGAATTGCATACTAAGTATGAATTTTATAAAAGTATACTTCATTTAATGAGTTTGAATATTACCTTTGATGAAAGGCACTTAGTTTTTGTGCTGCTCTCTGATTTTTTTCAGCAACAACTGCCAATGAACTTTATATTACGTGTCATTTTATGTATTATGTATTTCTATTGACGAATTTAAGGAAAAAGAACCTTTCATATCTATAACTTTCTATAACCTTTTGCTCACTTCAATTTTGCCTCCACTAGGTACTAGTGCTACACAAAACATGCATCCAAATCTGCTTTTTTTTTTTTTAAGAGAAACATTTTATAGAAGCAACAGAACTCACTTTTTTTTAGAAGATAACCTTTTTTGACAATATTTTTATAAAAAGCATCCTTTGTTTTGCGACGAATTGTATTGTAGATTTCTTTTCCATCCACCGTATTATTAAGCACTTGTTCTTGATGCTGGTAAATAAGGGAGAAATCAGCAGTTGTTGTTTTTTTTTTTGTCTGTTTGTTTGTTTAAAGCTCAGGAATCAACTGTGAAACAATTAAACACTATGAAGCTGCAACCAAAAATATTATTGAACACTACCAATTTTTTATTATTGTTCTCTCGCGTTTTAGCAAACCAATATAATTTCATACAATACCTTTGCCAGAAATGTAATGTGACTATTTCTTGTGGAATGATTAGACCAGAATAAACCTTATTTTTCTTATAAAATACAGACCGATGTTTACAAAGTAACATCTGTATTTATTTAACATTAAATAGAAAGCATCACCTTTCACATTGATTTATATAAAATTTACATAAGTCTTTAAAGGTTATCGAGTATCTGGCTGTCTTCTATCAAAACTTTTGGGAATGACTAATTAAGGATAAACTCTGAAGCAACAAGAATGGTGCAGATCTAAATTAAAACAGTTATTTATGCAAGAAGTTGTGCAGTCCCTCACTAACCTTATTTGCACTCATGTCCTAAGTGAGTAACATTCAAACATAAAACAATAGGAGAAAGCAGAAACACAAATACTCTTTTCTCTCTGCTCCCCCCATATGCCTATAAGAATTATAGTTTTGAATAACAAAGACAAGATGAAAAACACTTTAATAACAGGAAGAACAGGACTAAAAATTGAATCAATATCCAAATTTTCAGGAAATCAAGATAACCTCTACAACTACGAAGGAAATAATGCACAAAACAACATATGTAGTTACTAATGTTTTAAAGTAAATTGCTAGCTGATAGTATAAAACAATATAATGTGGCTATAATAATGACACCTAATATTCTAGGATATATCTGGTAAGTATTCCTACAGAAAAAGGCATCATTGATGACATGGCATTCTGAGCTGTTCTGGTCCATCACATTCGGGAAACATTAACTTGCACTAGATTTTGTGTTAGCAGGGCAACTACAAGAATGGTATGAAGGGATAATAGAAGAAATGCCCTTGTATTAATGTAATGGATACAACACAAGTGTTCCAGAACATGCCCTACAATCCCAGCTTTCTGTGCATACAGGTTTCTCTGGAGGAAGAAAGATGCCAGATACAGCCCAACATGGGATTGAGGCACAGAATGGTTTAATCAGGAACCAGAGCTGGGGACACAAGGCAGAGCATTTACACCTCAGAGCACAGACAAAGCTTACAATTACATTCTGTTGACTATAAGCCAACCTTAGATGAGTGAATATATAGGAGGTTAAAATGAAATAAGCACACAAGCTCAAAACAAAAAATCAAGCGAAGATGATGCTGTTTATCATCAATACCTCTCCTGTAATTCAGTTATTATAAATATTTGGTGATGATTAAGTCGATGTCTTCAACAACAAATGCTCAGAGATGAAATTTTACCTGCACTGGAACAGGATCTTTAAGGTAATATCCTTCAACAATTTGTTCTTTCCTATAATGTTCAATGATCTCATCAATACTGTTCAAATAAGAAAAATAAGATTTAAACGTTAAATTGGTTAGTTTTTCCTCTGTATGAGAATTTGCTTTTCCATGTAATCACGCTAAGCTTCACAATTAAAAAAAAATAAAAATCAAGTGTTAAACTTCATAATCTTGTTTGCAGCAATGACAATTTAGTAATACATTGAAGTCATGAAAATTAACAGACTGTATTCATAATCTGTTAATCCTAAACTCTGCAGAACATTTTCAATCAGATGTTGAAAATGCCAAATGAGTAGGCTACCTTTTCAACATTCAGTTAATGCATAGACATTTCCAGCTTTCCAACCAGGCTGAAAATTGCTATTTTATTGGCAAAGTCCTTGAGTAAACTAGGGAAAGGGAATGGGAGATGCTTCAAATTATGCAAAGCAATTTCTTTTTTGGACAGGAATGGGGAAATATAAAAGTATTGTAACATTGATTATGCAATTTACACTTCAAAATCACTGAGCTTTCATGTTAAATCATGTTACTCAGTCAGTAGCACTCCTCTACAGAAGGAGCTTGCATTTTAATTGCCAGAATCTGAGTGAAATTGAATTCTGAAAGATCAGGAGAGAAACAGTGACAGGTGCAAGCTAATTCAATTTATTTTTCTGTTGCTCAAACTTATTTTTGCAGTTATTGAAAGTTACCACTGTAATAAACAAGGGCAACGTTAACATCACACAGATTAATCATTCATATATAAAATATGAACCTGAAAATAAAGAACAAAACTATACTGAAAGCTTTTTCTCACTTTATATATATATACTGTTAGCTATGTGTGAAAATGTAATCAATAAGACACACGTGATGAGATCTTTGCCCTATTACAAGTGGATCAAGTTGTGTTCAAAGATATGTGAAACTATAAAAGGATTGTGAAAACATTTAAACAAAACAATAGAAAGACATTTTTGTTTGCTTTTCTTTATCCAACTAGTGCATGCTTGATCAATCTTTGAATCTTACCATGAGTATTTTTATTTTTCAGGTTTGTAAAGTGACTTGAATTTCTCTTTCAGTATTACTAAAATCAAATTTCGAATTTTATTTATATGCAACGTGCACATGCCATTTTCTGCATAAAAAATTAGACCTTACCACATTGAATAAAATAATGACTAATTGAATTTTGCATGTTGAACAGCTATTGCCAGCATCTTGTTATGAGGGCAATCATCAATAAAGCGACTTAATATATTTTTTCCCTGTTCTAATCAAGATACCTTTACTGTCACTGTCTACTTCCATGGTTAAAAATACCTCAACATAAGAAAAATACCTCAACATAAGAAACAATTGCCTAATTTCTGTGAATTTTGTAAAATGAGCTGAAGAATAAACTGGATAGTATTTGAAAACTCCTTTTGGAGTTACAGTACCATATAGACTAGGACATTATGTCTTGATGGAGTGATCAAGTGTTGGGTAGTGTTGGGTTCTTTAGCTCTCTCCTCCCCCCAGTGAACTTAATTCAGATGGTCATTGTATATTGCCTTACCACTTGAACAGCCCAAATGGCTGAACAAGCCAAACAAACAAACAAAAAAACCAGATATCTTTAGACATATAGAATAGTTCAGCTGGAAGGGACCTACAAAGATCATCAAGTTCAACTGCCTGACCACTTCAGGGCTAAACACAAGTTAAAGTATATATTTGAGGGCATTATCTAAATGCTTCTTGAACACTGACAGGCATGGGGTTATCAACCATCTCACTAGGAAGCCTGTTCCAGTGTTTGACCACCCTCACAGTAAAGAAATTTTCCTAATGTCCAGCCTGAATCTACCCTGGTGCAGCTTTGTGCCATTTCCTCACGTCCTATCAGTGGTTACCAGGGATAAGAGGCCAGCACCTCCCTCTCCATTTCCCCTCCTCAGGAAGTTGTAAAGAGCAACGAGGTCACCTCTTAGCCTCCTTTACTCCAGATTAGCCAACCCAAGTGTCATCAGCCTCTTGTCATAGGACAGGCCTTCCAGTCCTTTTACCAGCTTTGTTGCCCTCCTCTGGATGCTTTCAATCATCTTAACATCCTTTTTATGTTGTGGAGACCAGAACTGCACACAAGGTGGGGCTGCACCAACTCTAAATATAGCAGAAGAATTGCTTCTCTTGACCGGCTCGCTATGCTATGTTTAATGCATCCCAAAATGTGGTTTTCCTCTGGGCTGCCAGGGCACACTGCTGACTCATGTTCAGTGAATTGAACCCTGGGAACACCACTAGTGACTGGCTGCCAGCCAGATGTAGTCCCATTCACTACAATCCTCTGAGGCCAACCATTGAAACAGCTCTTCATCCTGCATAGGGTGAACCTGTTTATCTCACAGTTGGGACAATTTGTCCAGAAGGATGCTGAGGGATGGTAAAAAATGCCTTATTAAAGTCTAGAAAGATTACATCCACCACCTTCCCTTCATCCACCAAGCAGGTGACCTTATCTTAGAAGATCAAATTACTAAGGCAGAACTTTCCCTTGATGAACTCATGTTGACTGTGCCTGCTAACAGCTTATTAGGCTGCCCAGGTCCTAGCTACTTGGATAGTTTAAAAATATCTCATCACCATGAGCAATAACATTTGTTTAATAGTTAATGGGTAAATTAGGAGTTCTTGTAAGTGCTGACATTTCAAATAGTGAAGAATCCAGAAAGCAGAACACTATGTACTTGTTAAATTATTAAAAAATATTAACGTGTTAGGCCCATATTGTTCATCCTATCAAAATATGGATTAAACCATCAGTTGAAATGAAAATGGCTTCCATCAACTCCAGTCTCCTAGTCTCAAATTGTCATATTTCTCAAATTAAAGGTAACTTGAAAGATTGTTTGATGTCTAACTGTTGGGTCAATGTTCTCCTCAATTCTCCTTTGACATGGAATCACCAGATATACCATCCTCCCTCCCTCCCCCCCCCCCCCCCCCCCCTATTTTACAGGTTTTTGGAAAACTACCTGTTATAAAGGTTAGATTTCAGAAAGAAAGCAGATAGGAGAAAAGGGCAGAAGATATGGCCTAGTATCCCTATCCTACCATCCTTTCTAAAATCAGAATTGAAAAATTAAAAAAACAAAAACAAAACAAAAAAACCCTGTAAAATACATCAAAGTTATTCACAGAATGGTGAATCAGAAAGTCAGAAAGGACCTCTGAGATTGAGCTGATGAATTTCACTAGGTAGAGGGGTCAACAACAGCAGATTACTTAGGACCTTGTTCAGTCATGTTTTGAGCATCTCTAAGGGATAGAGATTCCACAAGCTCTTAGGTCAACCTTTTCTAGTGTTCAGTCATCCTTGCAGTAGAAAAAGCCTTTTTTTACGTTCAGATGGAATTTCTTGCATTTCAGTTTGTGCCTACTGCCTCTTGTCCTGCCCCTGAACACCACTAAAAAGCATTTGGTTCTCTTCTTTGTTCCTATCAGGTATTTATACACTGTGATAAGATTACCCCCCAACCTTCTCTTCTCTTGGCTAAACAGTCCCAGCTCTCTCCTCATACTAGAGAGGCTCCAATCACCCCCTTCATTGTCTTTGTGGCCCTTCTTTGGAAGCCTATAACACTCAGACCCAGTATTCCCAAGCAGTTACCCGTCCAAGTACTGGGCCCAACCCTGCTTAGATCAGAAACAGTATGTTCAGGATGGTGTAAATTTTGTGGTTTAGATTTCATGATATACAGTTAGCAAAATCACCCTCTAGAACTGACTTTGCCATTTTTTCCACAAGAAAGTGACTACTGAAGTAATTTCTATGTTATTCATGGAACAAACAGAAAGATCACAGAAGTTATATGCTTTAGTAAAGTCCATGGGAAAACAGTATTTCATTATATAGTCAAAAGCACACTCAGTATGTATTTATCTTTTCCTATGTATTAGAACTTTAAATTAGTCAACTAAAAGAATACAGACTGGCTATTTTGTAAAGCTGCTGTTAAAAATAATGAAAGCAGACTTCTGTATGAGAGTATAAATATAGTCTGTCAGTTATACTCATCAATAGAAATTCTGAGCAATTTATATATACAGAATGGTGGGAGGACATGCAAAGGGAAAACGTTAGTGGAAAAAGTAGTCCTTCCTATGCATCACAGAACATCAGATTTCTGAGATATACCAAAAAATATTTCCTCCCCATGATCACCCAAGAAAATTTTGGCTTGCTTTTGAAATATAGGCAGACACATAATATTGCTTATATAGGCTATCAAACTTCCAGTCCTGTGTCTGGATATTCAAACTACCTGTGAAACAGAACTTTTTTTTTTCCTACTCTGAAGTAGATCTTGTGGTAAACAATTTGGGGCAGTTACCACCTTCATTTTGTATCCTTATTATCTTCCATTAACTTCAAGAAGTTCAACAACTTTCAGTAAATACTAACTTGGACAGAATTTGAGCCTAGAAGTATATTAGTATTTCCCCAAAACATACAACTAAAACTAAGTCTTTCAAAATCAAGCAGCTCTCTTTCACTGAGAAAGATCTTTGCAACCTAGGTACCAAAATACTCTAAAAAATCCCTCTTAAAGCTTACACTTAGGCTTTTTAGGGCTCTTAGAAGATGCTTAGTTACAAGTAGCTACTAAGCAAGTCAGGTAAAACTCTTAGTACATTAAGAAATACTGAAATTTTATGATCACATCAGTAAATTATCAACAACACAAATTCTTTACAAAAGTTAAAAAATACACACAACTTAAAACTTACCTATTATAATATCTGCCTCCCATCATAAATTGGTTGTTTGATGTTGGACATATTTTAAAACGATGAATATTCTCACTGGTCCGAAAATAAAGTGAATAATCACCAGGTGTATTATCTGAAGGCCTCACAAGAAAACTGCACACCTGACCAACTGAAAAGATAGCATAATAAAGTGTTATTCAAGTGTTACTTATCTTAGTGTCATTTATGAGTGCTTATCAAAACTCCTTCTGTACAAATTATCAAGAACTGCACACAAAGTCTGTGGTAAGTTCCCAAAGTGATCCCTGTTCTTCACCCAAATGGGATGTGTGAGGAATGTTTTAACAATTCCAATTCGTGTCCATAAATTCGTGTCCATAAAGAACAATTCTGTTTGAATCCTGTCTGCCTGGGCCCTGCACTGGCAGTTTAATTCTTGAACCACAGATGCAGTGTGTCCCAGTCTCCCCCTCATTCCAGTCAATTTATCAAGTCTTCAGAAAACACTCCTTAAATTTATGAACCTGTTTGCTTTTGTTATTCCTGACTTCTAGTTCTAACAGTTACAGGGTTTTTTTTCCTGTCTTCTTCGAGATTAACTTAACACTGCTATAGATGTGTCTGTGAATGGCTGGGGAAGAATGTTTTAATTACTCGTGAAGCGTCAAATAAGAAAGCTGTTTGTGTTTGATGTCTGGGAGTTTCAGAACAACTGATAACAACTAGTGACTGTTATGGGATACTATGAGGATCCTTGGTATCTGGCCGGGGGGGCCAAGAGATTAAGAGGAAGAAAAAAGAAGCTGAAGGACGGTTGGGAGACAAGACCTGTGGAGAGTGTACAGAGAGTGTTCCATAAACTTGGAATAGTGCCAAGTAAGTACAAAGGGTGAGAGGAAGACTACGAGCCTTCAGCATGAAAGACCCCTAGAGACCCCCAGAGGAGACTGATGCGCATGCTCCAGTAGGAGGAACTGGACCCCGGAAGCTAATTTTAATAATCTCTTTTTTTAGAAGTAGTAATGAATATGTATTAGTCTAGGTGCATAAAAATCAGCTGCTTGATGTAACTGGTGTGCGTCCTGGTGGAGCAGAGACTCCCGGTGCACCCAGCGCTGTTTGCTTACCTCTATTCCTTTATATTCTTTTAATAAATCCTATTTTTTTATTTAATCCTAATTTGAATCCTGAGCCATTTATAACAATTTGGGGGCTCGTCCGGGATGGCTATAGTTCCTGAATTCTGATTTAATCTAGGAGAGGCGCCCCACCATTTGGTGGCTCCTGTTTGAGTCAGATCGGGACTAATGCCATCCTGAACCTGAATAAAGGTAAGCAAAGAATTTAATTTTTTTTGAGCTCCCGTGTTGCCGGCTGTTTTTTGCCCGTAATTCTGCGCGCGAAGATCCGGACGAAGACGACAGGGTCGTTTGGATACCGTTCGGTTGGATTCCGGTGTCCGGAATCGAACCGGATGAAGACGACAGTCGTTTGGATACCGTCTGGTTCGATCCCAGACGAAGACAGCAGAGACGCTGGTGGATACCGTCCGATTGGAGTCTGGACGAAGACGACTGATTCGTAAGATACCGTCCGGTTGGGTAAGGGTACGGTTGCCAGTTTTTGTGTGTGAGAGTGTAACTGAGACTTCTAAAGTCAGCGTGGAGGTCTTTTTGTTTTCTCACTGGTTCTAATCTCCTGTCGGGGGGGCTGGACTGGTGAGAAGAGGGATACGTGGGTGGGTGATAGGTCCTAAACCCCCTGCAAGACACTCTCACTGGGCAACCAAGGGCTGTGGGAATTGCCACTAGTAAAATTCCCGGATGGGTCAAATAAAATCAAAGACCAAGGACCAGAAAGGGAGCAAATTACCAGATATATGACCAAAAAGTCCATTATGAATAATGATTAGAAATTGGAACAATAGGGGCCCCAGAAAATTAAAGAGTAAATTGAAAATGATTATTATATGATAGAATGACCAAAAGAACCCTTAAGACCCCCTGTATTTTGATCCACAGAGGACGGGGTCTGTCAGGCTTTGAACATTAATAGTAGAATACCCGTGGATCCAGAAAAGAGCAAGCTGAAACATTGGAATTAGAAATTAGAGAGCAATTGATTAAGAATGAATATGTGCTACATTTGTGCCTGTGCTGCACTTATACCACCAGATAACAGGAGCCTCTCGGGCCCCGAGAACCAGATTAAAAACCTCATGGTTCAGAGTTTAACCAAGGTGTCTGAAATAAGGAGGAGTGTTCACAAAGGGACAGGTTATGCATATGTATAGGAATGTTCATGTATATGTAACTTTTTACTAAAGCAATTTGTCACGTTAGGCCTGCACGACTTTGGGGGGACTACCCGCCCCATGCTGCATGGAACTGAGTAAACATACCTACTTTACAATCCTACTGATTGTGGAGTCAGCTTTCTGTGAGTCATTTTGGTGAGCCAGGCAGGAGACACTCTGCTCAGCTGCGGGATCAGCTGCAGCGCGGACGCCCCTAGGTGCACCCTGAGTGTTTTTGCTCGGAGGGGACTCCACTCTCAGCTGCTTACCGCAGGAGCAAAGATCTCCTGAAACTGCAGACAAACGGTATGTTTTCAGCTGCTGGAGGGATACTAACTGGAGTGTTAATAATTGTATGTGTTTTTATGTATGTATTTTGTGTTGAAAGTATTTGTGTAAATGTAAGGGTTTGAAACACAGTGTTACAAGTCACTTCACGAAGAACACAGTCAGAGACAATACTTATTTGGTTGGTTATCATTCTAAATTATATTCCTGTGGTATGAATGAGATGTGCTGGAGGCCTCCGTGTGCGAGTGTGCTGTGTGAGTGAGACGCAGCGTTGCTGCAAAGCGAGTGCAGAGTTCCGATCCGTTGTTCCGTACTCTCCGCAAGGGGAGTGGGCAGAGACGAACAAAGTGCTTGACAGACTGAAAAGAAGTGCTGTTTTATCCAAGTTTTGAGTGGTGGTGCCTAATATATGGGCCCGGTGTATCTTGTGTATCTTGTGTATCCTATTTTTGCTCTTAAATGTTTTGACTGTGACAAGAAAAAGGCAGGAGCATGATATGACATGCTTCCTGCAACATATGAGGCCCGCACAGGCCGAGACCTGGACTCACTGAGACCCAGACTCGCTGAGACCTGAACAGGCCGAGAGACCTGAGCGGCGCCGAGAGACCGGAGCGGCGCTGGGAGGCCCGAGACACTACGGAGGGACTACCGCTGGACGGAGAGAGCCCTGAGAGATGCTGCAGAGCCACGGACGGCTCTGAGAGACATAGAGAAACCTGACAGAAGCTGCAAAACGCGGGGAAATTGAAGTAATTGCGGAACATCCGAGATCGAGTTGCTACGGGAGACCAGAGGCGTCAGTGGACACCGGTAGCTGACCCTCACCGTGTGGCGAGTCGGCACAGAGCAGAGGGGCGGACATCAGGACCCTGCAGCCTGTCTGACATAACCGTGGAGGCAGCGGCAGCAGCGGCTGTGCTGCTTCACTCTGGCATTCTTTTTATAAAAGGTTTATCTTGCAATGTAAAAAAAGACTATTAGTCCCCAGATCGGTGTTATAACTATTACTAATGATGACTTAGCTCTATTGCAGGGCAGGAGTGCAGAGACGCAGATTACACTGCCGAATGACCACCGGCAGGCTCTTTCACAAACCTAAGGTTGCAGCTGGCACTGCCTGCAGCCGTATAGCAGACGTTACACTCTCTTTCCTAATTAGTAATCATGTGTCTTATCCATTTGTGGTGAATGGCCAGTGACAAAAAGAAAAGGGGGGAGACAAAGACAGAAACGGTACAAGGAGGATGCCACTGACACTAACAGCATGGGTAGTAGGAGTAGTATAAGTGACACAGGTGACGGTGCAGGGCGCTCTGCCTGCTGCTCGCCTTCGCCTGACTGTGCACTGCTGCCAACGGTGCTAGAGTAAAATGTGAAGACTGCTCAGATGGCAGTGATGAGAGTGCTTGTGTGAAGAAGATGTGTACTGAATCTGACTTTGTGTGCATAGATATCAATAAAGTGTGTAACCAGCAGAGAGACTGCAAGGACTGGGGTGATGCCCCTGAAGGAATGCAACAAAAATGAATGTGACTGTCCAGCTGGGAAACTGTGGAGATAGTGATGAATGCCAAAACCCTGGTATCTGTAGTCAAATCTGTATCAACCTGAAAGGCTATCAGATGAATCCTGCTACGGGAACCTGAAAAGGGCCATACGGCAAAGCAAATTAGATAACTGTTATTTAACTTGTCAGAAGATAAAAAAGAAAGTGTTTCAACAAGCAGCCATGGGAGGGAAGAATCACTGAACCCTCGATGTGAGGGACTGTACCTTGTTTTACTGACTACTGAAACAGCTGTGAGGACTGCAGGAAGGGACCCATGCATCCAGAATAAAAGGACCAGTAACTACTGAAACTTGGAGGGCTGAGTCCACTCCTGGGAAACTGAAACTCAAGCTAAGGAAGAACTAATATTCTGGCAACGAGGCTCTGCATGAATTAAGGATGCCAAATAAAGGGGACAAGCCTAAAGGGAGGAAAGGGAGAAGGCAAGACCAGGGCAGGACCCTCCACTGCGGTGTGTATGGTCTACCGAGGGAAGCAACCCCTATGGGTATTGACTGCCGAGTGAGAGGGGTAATACTAAATTACCAAAGTTGATGCAAATTTGTTTGGCTGTAACTGACAACCTATCCACAGTTTTGCCACCTCTTTACAAGAGCATTGGGGGGGGGGGAAACAACAATGTTTTAAAAAACTAATGATTTTTTTATTCTAATTTTTTACTTGACAGTATGACTCAAATCTTGACAGTTTCATTAAAATAATTATTTCCTCTATGAGGGGACTAAAAAGTTGATAATACTTTCTCCTATAAGTATATAACAGTATTTTCTCCTCAGCATTTTGATGAAGCCCAAAATATTTAAATATGTATATATTAAAAAAATAATTATCAATTTTACCTTAAATTACAAAGCTAACTATACTTGAGAACATAAAAATACTCAATACTTATAGCCATCAGCTTTGGATTTCTGTGCCCATCTGCTCCCTGTCCGCCACCCCCCCCCCCCCCCAACATTCTCTAGCAGCAACCATTCCATTTGGAATTAGATACTCAAACATTCATACAGAAAAACAGGTTTTGCTGCAGTTCAATATAAATAGGATCACTTTGTTCCATTCTACTACCACTGTCTTTTTATCTGAAATACAAGTACCTGTCATCAGCAAATGGTAAGCCTCTTGTTTGGAGATCTTCCCACGGAACCATCTTAAAGATGAAGAAAAAAATAGAAAGCAAGACTATCAGCACTCTTTTTTGGTTGTTGTGACATTTAAGGCTCTGGCACCTATGAATTGATCTTTTTTTTTTTTTTAAAAAAAAAAACAAACAACAAACACAACAACAAACAAACAAAAAACCCCACAAAAATCACTAGTACATATAGATTATATAATCAACCATTATCTTCTTCCATGATTCTGTTGTTCTAGCAATAGAATGAAAGATAAATATCAACAGCTATATAAATAAATTCATTCAATACAAATGTCTAACATGAAGTAGATGTTCAAACCCAAGTGTACTTAGAGATGAAAAGGCATTGTTTAAATGCTAGATAATCTCACAGGCATATTTAAATTCCATTTCAGATGGCAATTTGAAGCATGAAATGCAAAGCCCAAACAAGGAGATTAATGAAGGTTAAATACTGCACAGAACAACTAAAACTGGAACAGCAGAAAGAAAATCATTGGTGTGTGGTTTCATTTTGCTATTAAGTAACAAGAGATGCCTTCTTCAGTCATCAGTCCTTTGGAGACTACAAACTTTACAATTAATACAGAAAGCAGCAGATGCAATTACAGTAAGCAAATGGAGTACAGATGAAGTTATCTAGCTACTAGAATTTTTTTGTAACTTGCATTTGCCACTCATCTTTACAACTGCAAATAATATAACAGTCAACAGTTTGTCACAATATCAAACATGTTCACCATAAATAAAAATAAATTGCAAAGAGCTAATATGATTTAAGTATTGAACAAGTTGGAATTCACTGCAAACAGGTTATTAAAGAGAAAACCAGAAGGACTATAAGTGTTACTATTACACTATCATTCCTCTAATGAGGCTTTGTTCCCTCTGCTGCATTTAGAGTTAAGCAGATCTGAAAAAGGTTACTTCTAAGACAAGATACATATGTATAAATGTATTGGGTTTACAAAACAAGGTTTTGGTAGCAGGGGACTGCAGGGGTGGCCTCTGTGAGAAGAATCCAGAAGCTGCCCCATGTTAGATAACGGTCAGTTTCAATTAGCTCCAAAGGGACCCACTGCAGCCCAGAACCAAACCAATAAGTGATGTTGTTTGCGCCTCTGTGACAGCAGATTTAAGAAAAGGAATAATAAAAAAAAAAAGCTAAAAAAAAACAGATGTAAACTGACCACAACCCCCACTCCCCATTCCCCTGCACCAGTCAGGGGAAGAGGACATGGAAGAGGGTGGATGGGGGCAAGGTGTTTTTAGTTTGTTTTATTTTTAGTTTCTCACTGCTCTAGCAATAGGTAATAAATTACATTAATCTCCCTCTGCTGAGTCTGTTTTGCCCGTGATGATAACTGTTGAGTGATCTCCCTGTCCTTATTTCAACCCTTAAGCCCTTTTCATTGTATTTTCTCCCACTTTCCTTTGAGGAGCGGGAGTGAGAGAGCAGTTGTGGTGGAGCTCAGCTGCCCAGCTGAGTAAAACCATCACAATAAAAAACACAAACCAGAAAACACCACACTGTGCATATTCTGGGTAAAAGTGATCGCACAGACTCATTTAAGATTTTATCAGTGCAAAAACCATTGCAATTTGGCATAACTAATACATGGATAATTGACATGAACTCTTGTATCTTCAGTAGCTAGTACAGAAGAAAAGTCTTCCAAAAAAACAACCAATGACACACCTTTGATTTGCCTCCCCAACATCAACCTCATAGCTAAAATTTACAGTTATTTTATGATTCTCTTTTAATAACAAAATAAAATCCTTACATTTTGCCTTCATGTGGATCTTCTTCTCTTCCCTAATAAGAAAAAATAACATATTAAGTGCATGACAACAGTATACCTGATTTTAGAAAAGTGAACTTAATTGGTTAAGACCTTCTGTAGAAATAGGCAGCACTAAGAAGTCCAAGACATTTTTGAACTTAATGGCTTATTTCACATATCTGTGTAAAGAGTTTTTCCACTTCATTCACTAAGTGGAAATTCAACCAAAACCCATTATTTCAGAAGATTGTTCTAGACATAGTTAACTCAACAATATACTTTTTAACCCACACTTGGCCCTTTAAAAAAATGCATATCACAATACAAAATTTCAGTCTATATATTTATGAATATTTCATGGCAAACAAACAAACAAAAAGAATGCAATTGAATGACTAGCAGGTTCTTTATCAGGACTGGTAAGTTTAGGGAACTGCCCAGTAAATTCACAGTATTATTCATTTGCACATTAACTTGTTTGGACAACATGTCAATAAGCTCTATTTGGCTAATGAATTAGACTTCAAAGTTTGTTACACTATTTTAAAAGTGGTAGATTCAGTTACTAAAGGAAGGTTGACAAAAGTATGTAACTGAAAATTGGGAAGTTAAATGCCACTTGTTTGGGTTTATCTCAGTGTTAAAGTTGCACACACACAAAATAATAAATAAAAAAATAAATAAAAATCTCACTTCTCTAACAGATTTGAATATAGAATTACTTACAACTTCTTCTACCAGGTCATCTACAATAAGACCTTGTTCATCTGTCCGTAGGTTCGTAACCCACATCCAGCCATCTTCCAATTCATTATGGACAATAAACATATCTCCTTTAAGGAAACTGGAGAGAGTTACAGTAAGATTTATATTATGATTGTGCTTTAACTTAAAGTTTAATTAACACAATGAGTTCTTGAGCATAATTTCAGCAAAAATTTGAGGAAATCTGATCATGAAAGATTGATATTGGTATCCCAAACACGGCATCTCACACTTTTAGTAGCTATAACAGATTAATAATTATCCTTTGATTTACATTTAGAATTTAATGGATGCTTTAATACAGTCAAATTTAACGTGGGCTAAGGACATATAAAACAAACACCACCACAATAATATTAAAAGATAGTAGCATTATTTTATCAAGAAGGATCAAATACCAAATACCAGTAAAAACAAAGATTCCCTTAATAACTTAAGAAAATAATACTTTTTAATAATACTTTTTATCAAAACCTATTTTTTTATAATAAAAGCCTGTGAAATATATCATCACATGCAAAGATCTAAACAGTACAAGTGCTAAAAAGAGGATACAGAATAGTTACTAAAAAAGCCATGCTATAATGGCTTTTATAATATATATTATATATAAAATATATATAATGTGTAATAGCTTTTATAATATATATAATGGCATACTAAAAAAACAAAGCTATAATAAGAACATAAATACAAAGCATTAAAATATCCAAGGGAGTTTCATTTTTGGAAGGTGATTATAAGTTATTCCCTTAAGTGTAACCCCAAACTTGGGTCATATGAAAACCTTTCACTGGAGTACAGCAGGACTCTTTAATCAACATGGATAGTACATTAGTGGTACAGGCAATAGCTAGAAGGTAGTGTTGTGGTCAACCCAGCAGGCAGCTAAGCACCACACATCTGTTTGTTCACTCCTCCCCATCCCCAGTGGGATGGGGGAAAGAACTGAGTGTGGGGGGGAAGGGTAAAAAACTCATGCACTGAGATAAAGACAGTTTAATAGGACAGAGAAGGAAGGGAAAATAATAATAACAGCAACAACAACAATAATAGTAAAAGAATATACATAACAAGTGATGCGCAATGCGATTGCTCACCACCCACCAAAGAACGCCCAGCCAAACCCTAAGCAGCAGCACACCCCTCCCTTGGGCCAACTCCCCACAGTTTTCTTGTTCAGCATGATGTCATATGGTATGGAATACCCCTTTGGCCAGTTTGGGTCAGCTCTCCTGGGTCTGTCCCCTCCCAGCTCCTGCTGCACCCCCAGCCTGCCCGCTTGCAGGACAGTGTGAGAAACTGACAAGTCCCTGGCTTAGTGTAAGCACTGCTCTGCAACAACTAAAGCATCAGTGTGATATCATTATTCTCATCCTAAATCCAAAACAGAGCACCATACCAGCTACTAGGAGGAAAATTAATTCTATCCTAGCCAAAACCAGGACAGGTACTGAAGCTCATCAACTACTAGAGTACAATCCAAAACTATAAGCAATTTTCTATTGCATTCTTCCATTTGTGAGGGTAACAGAAAAGGCATTAATTTGAACGCAAAGTGAACAGAAAGAATAAAAAAAAAGCCTAATGAAAATATTTAGAATGAATTCAGCTACTAATGTATCTAAATCCCAGTAATGAACAATAAACAGCAAGGCCAGTTCTATAACAAAGTACACTAATTTGTTGCTTGGAAAACAGGTTGAAATTAACCCAAAAATAATTCAAGCTTTTCAAAAATCAATTATAACATTAAAATTTTAAGTCAAGATGCACTGAAAAACATAGAATCTTCAAAAGTACATTACAATACAAGAGTATAATACATTACAGAATCATAGAATCACAGAATGGCCAAGGCTGGAAGGGACCTCTGAAGATCATCTAGTCTACCTCCCCTGCCAATCAGGATTGCCTTGAGCACATTGCACAGGATGGCATCCAAGCGGGTTTTGAATATCTCCAGAGAAGGCAACTCCACAGCCTCTCTGGGCAACCTGTTCCAGTGCTCTGTCACCCTCACAGTAAAGAAGTGTCCTCTCATATTCAGCCGGAACCTCCTGTGCCTGTTGCCTCATCCTCTCGCTAGGCATTGGATAAGAGAGGATAAGTCCTGTCACTGAGCACAACTGAAAAGAGACTGGGTCCATCCTCTCAACACCCTCCCCTCAGATATTTATATACATTAATGAGGTCTCCCCTCATTCTTCTCTTTTCCAGGCTAAACAGGCCCAGTTCTTTCAGCCTGTCCTCATACAACAGGTGCTCCAGTCCTCTAATCATCTTAGTAGCCCTCCTCTGGACTCACTACAGTAGTTCTATGTCCCTCTTGTACTGGGGATCCCAGAACTGGACACAATACTCCAGGTGTGGCCTCAACAGGGCTGAGCAGAGGGAGAGGATCACCTCCCTTGTCCTGCTGGGAACACTCTTACGAATGCACCCCAGGATAAGGTTGGCCTTCTTGGCTACAAGAACACATTGCTGACTCATGGTCAGCCTGCTGTCCACCAGGACTGCCAGGTCCCTCTCTGCAGAGCAGCACTCCAGCAGATTAGCCCCCAGCCTGTATATCTTAGCCTATACCTTAGGCCAGCATTCCTAACAAGAACCCAATTCAACCAACATGTTATATCATCTTGTGAAACCAAGATGGTCTCATCAGAACACTAAATGGAAATGGTTGTGTTTGTTGTTGTTGTTGTTTTTGACATCTCTCTTTTTTTCTTATTTAGCAGTTGCTAAATATACTATTCTTAATTTCATTAGATAGTCAGTGCTCACATTATCTTTCTGGTGGTCAAGGTTGGTTTGGCTTAAATTATTTATCTTCTACTAGTTACTTCTGCAGGCAATTTTTAGGGAAAAGCCTAGATAATTTATTTTAAACCCTCACTAGACATTTTTACACAGCATTCCCTAATACACATACTTATCCACTTTGAGAAAAATGTAAGCCTTTGAAATTGGTAATGTTCTACTTCTAAACTAAGCTTCATAGTTCTAGCAATTTAATGCAATACAAACAGTCTATCAAGAATAAAACTTATTACTATATCCAGCAAGAAAAAAAAAAGTTATCATACTTTTAACATCCCATTGTTAAGTCTAAGACACAATTGGAAAGTATTTGCATAGTAAACATACTAAAATCATTAATATTCATAAACACAACAAAAATTTCACAACTGCTTCTACCTATTATTAAAACATACCTTATTTCATCAGTTTCTGGCACTTTGGTGTATGGTAGAATTGCTCGAACTCTCCTTCTATCCTCCACAGGCTACAATTTAAGAGAAGAGAGCAAAGATATTACATTTTGCTTTCACTCCAGTGTAGAATTCCTCTCCCCAACATTACGCTATTCAGAGGGAAAGGTCTGGTAACAGAAATTTGTATTCAGTTGTGAGTTTTAAGTTTTCAAATGGTCAAAAAAGTAAGAGCTAGGAATGTTTAATTCCTAAAGTTATCTACAACAGCTCTCATTACATTCCTAGCCTTGTAGCATGACAGATAACATATGCTATCTTCGAAATTAATTACCAATAATGTAACTCCCATGAAAGAGTACTTTAGAATTCCCTTCCACTTAATGAAAATTTATGAAAATTTAACATTCGGAAACATCTTTATTTGGGTTTTGCTTGGAGGGAGGGATGAACGTGAAGATACAGTTTGTAGGTGATTTTTTTTTTAAATTTATTGATATTGTCTCAAGCATGGAGAAATGAAAGACGACCAACTTTTAAAAACTTCATTTATTTCAAGGATCCATATTTTGAAATGTATGCTTGATACATAGAATCATAGAATATCCTGAGTTGAAAGGGACCCACAAGGATCATCAAGTCCAACTTAGGGCTCCACTCAGGAACACCCAAAAATCAAACCATATGTTTGAGGGCACTATATAAATGCTTCTTGAACTCTGACAGGATTAGTGCTGTGACCACTTCCCTGGGGAATGTGCCTGACCACCCTCCCAGTGAAGAACCTTTTCCCAGTATCCAACCTGAACCTCCCCTGTTGCAGCTTCATGCCATTCCCTCAGGTCCTTTCGCTACTCACCAGAAGAGATCAGAGCCTTCCGCTCCACTTCCCCTTGTGAGAAAGCTGTAGGTCTCAATTAGATCTAACCTCAGTCTCTTCTACCCTAGGCTGAACAAACCAAGTGACCTCAGACACTCCTCAAATATGTTCCCCTCTATACCTCTCACCATCTTCAAATTCCTCCTTTGTTTTTATATCCTTATACCGTGGTACCCAAAAGTGCACACAGTACTTCAGATGAGGATGTAACAGTGCAAAGTGCAGTGGGACAATCATTTCCCTTGACCAGCTAGCAATACTATGCCCGATGCACTCTAGGACACAGTTGGTCCTTTTGGCTGCCAGGGATCACTCTTGACTTGTATTCAACTTGCCATCGACCAGAACCCCCAGATCCCTTTCCATGGGGCTGCCTTCCAGCCTCTCAAATATGGATGTATATCAAGGATTCCACTGTCCAAAGTGCACACACTGGCACTTGCTATTGTTAAATTTCATATTCTTGATGATTGCCCAGCTCTCAAGTTATCACAATCTCACCAAAAGACCTCTCTATACTCAAGGGAGTCAACAGCTAATACTAATTTAGTATCACCTGTAAACTTACTTAGTATGTGTGGAATAATTGCTGGAGGTGACTTATTAAGACTAAAAGTATGTCCATATATTAAGAGAAGTTTGGTGTTTTATACCTTGCTAGGCAGCTGAACTCTACCATAACCGCTCTCTCGCTGGCAATCCAAAAGAACCTGATTATCTGTTGCTGTAATAAACCATACTTGATTGCATTGTGATAGCTCTCATTAAGTGCAACTAGGGAAAGGGTGGTTATCCGTGATAGTTCAGTGTTCTGAATTCAACCAGACCCCCAGACGGTTAATGCGTTGTTGGTGAATGTCCAACTGGTTCAGTACCCTGAATCCGACTGGGCCCGTAATGGTTAATCAGCTACACCCCTTAATGCGACAGTAAAATTGGCGTAGTAGGCAGAATTGCTATGGATATACTGCTGCAAAAATACAAATGTGCCCCTTCCCAGGCGGGGAAGGAGTGGGCCCAAAAGTTCTGGAAAGATGAGGAGAAAGTGGTAGAGCGCATTGAGCAGTGTCAGGCTTCATGAAAGATCGGTCAAAGAAAGGGTAAAGGTGCGATTTGTGCTGTGTTAGGAGCCTGTTTGACTTGTGCTCAGCAAGAAGCTAAGGAAACTGCTCCCAAACTGATCTCTGATGCGGAACATACCGCTTTGAAATCAGAGAATGAGGTATTGAAGTCATCATTGGCCTTTGAAAGGGAGACAGGAAAAGCATTAGGAGTCAGAGTGGATAAACTTGTGAGTGAAAATAATTATCTTAAACAATTGCTGGAGAGGGTTAGTAATCTTTTAAATAAAATACAGTCTTGTGCTCCGGTTAAGCAGATTTGTAGACTGTTGTATAATGCAGACCCTGAAAGCTGGGATGGTGATTTCTGGTTTGACAGTGATGACGATGTCCAAGAGATTGTTGATTCTGAACCTCAATCGATTCTCTTGAGACCTTTGGCTAAGACTGAGACTACTGTTGATGATGATGATGGAATTCACACTACTGTGCAAACAATTCCATGGCCACTGGCAAAGTTGGTTAAAATACAGGAGAAGTTCTCAAGGCGGCCAGGGGAATCGGAAGTGGAGTATGTGTGGTGAGTTTCTCTTGAAGGAGGAGATCGAATTATGTTGAGTGAGGAAGAAGCAGGTGGCTTTTGGGGACTTGGAGTGTTTTTAACCACCACACCAGGAGACCATAGTTACTCTATCACTGCACGGGCAGCATACTGGGCAGGTGGTATAGATCCCCAAGAGAGAGGGGAACCCCTGGAAATTAGAGCCACAGGCTATTCTGACCTGGCTGTAGCAGTACAAAAAGCAGCCTGTATTCAGGCGATATATGAAAGAGATGAATTTAGGAAATCCCCTATGTTAGCTCCTATTGATCCGGTTCGATTGATTGGCGATGTATGTGAAGCAGGGGCTGGACTGTGTGGAACTTCAGGTCGGCGATGGCAAAGTTGAGAGCCTCTGGGTAAGGATCAAGGGACGAACGAATAAAGGGGATCTCGTTGTGGGAGTCTATTACAGACCGCCTGGCCAGGACGATAGCGCCGATAACTTATTCTTTACAGAACTAAGAGAGGCCTCGAGATTAACTCCCCTTGTCCTTATGGGGGACTTCAACTTGCCAGACGTTAACTGGGAGTGCCACACGGCTGACACGAGCAAGTCCAGGAGGTTCATGAAGCACCTAGATGATAACTTCTTGGTGCAGGTGCTAACGGAGCCAACTAGGAAAGGTGTCCTCCTAGACCTGTTGCTGGAAAACAGAGAGGGTCTGGTGGGAGATGTGGTGATTGGTGGCCGCCTCGGTCATAGCGACCATGAAGTGGTTGAGTTCAAAATTTACGGTGACAGAAGGAAAAGTGCCACCAAAACCTCATCCCTAGATATAGGGAAAGCGGACTGCTCAGGGAACTAGTCAGCAAGGTCCCCTGGGAAGCTGCTCTTGAAGGCCTTGATGTCCACCAGTGCTGGTCATTCTTTAAGCGATGCCTCCTAGAAGCACAAGATCAGGCGATTCCTAAATATCACAAGTCAGGCAGGCGGGGCAGAAGGCCGGCGTGGCTGACCAGGAACATTCTAATGGAGATTAGGCGGAAACAGAGAGTGTCTCGCTACTGGAAGGAGGGCCAGGTGACATGGAAAGAATACAGGGATGCTGTTCGTGTTTGTAGGGAGAAAATTCGTGTGGCTAAAGCACACCTAGAGTTGAAGCTGGCTGTGTCTGTGAGAGAAAATAAAAAGGGTTTTTTTAGATATGTGAATGGAAAAAGGAGAACTAAAGAATACATAGGGCCGCTCCTTGATAGGGAAGGTCTCCTCACAGACAATGACATAGGCAAAGCAGAGACGCTTAACGCCTTCTTTGCCTCTGTCTTCAATGCCGATGATGGGCTTCGGGACCCAGGGTGCCCTGAGCTGGAGGACCGGGACGGTGGGGATGACAAACTCCCAACCGACCCTGAACGTGTGCGGGATTTGCTACTCCGCCTGGATCCCTACAAGTCCATGGGTCCGGATGGGATTCATCCCCGGGTGCTGAAGGTGCTGGCGGACGTCATCGCGGAACCTCTCTCAATTATTTTTCAACGATCCTGGGAGTCTGGAGAGGTCCCGGTAGACTGGAAGCTGGCAAATGTTGTGCCGATTTTCAAGAAGGGTCAGAAAGAAGACCCTAGCAATTACAGGCCTGTCAGTCTCACGTCAGTGCCTGGTAAAATCATGGAGAAGATGGTTCTCGAACTTATTGAGGCGCACCTGGGGGACAAAGCAGTCATTGGTCCCAGCCAGCATGGGTTTGTGAAGGGTAGGTCCTGCCTAACTAACCTGATTTCCTTTTATGATAAGATCACCCGTATGGTGGACCAAGGGAAACCAGCTGACGTGATTTTTTTGGACTTCAGCAAGGCTTTTGACACGGTTTCCCATAGGATCCTACTGGACAAAATGTCCACCATACAGCTAAATAAAAACATCATACGATGGGTGAGCAATTGGCTAACGGGCAGGGCCCAAAGGGTTATGGTGAATGGGGCTGCGTCAGGCTGGCGGGCGGTCACCAGTGGGGTCCCTCAAGGCTCCATTTTAGGGCCGGTACTTTTCAATATTTTTATAAACGATCTGGATGTAGGAATAGAAGGTATTTTGAGCAAGTTTGCTGATGACACCAAACTTGGAGGAGTTGTGGACTCTGTTGAGGGTGGAAAGGCCTTGAAGAGGGATCTGGATAGGTTGGAGAGCTGGGCGATCGCCAACCACATGAAGTTCAATAAGAACAAGTGCCGGGTCCTGCACCTGGGACGGGGAAACCCCGGCTGCACGTACAGACTGGGCGATGAGACGCTGGAGAGCAGCCTAGAAGAGAGGGATCTGGGGGTCGTGGTAGACAGCAAGTTGAATATGAGCCAGCAGTGTGCCCTGGCAGCCAGGAGGGCCAACCGTGTCCTGGGGTGCATCAAGCACGGCATCGCTAGTAGGTCAAGGGAGGTGATTGTCCCGCTCTACTCTGCGCTGGTGCGGCCTCACCTCGAGTACTGTGTGCAGTTCTGGACACCACAGTATAAAAAGGACATGAAACTGTTGGAGAGTGTCCAGAGGAGGGCTACGAAGATGGTGAAAGGCCTGGAGGGGAAGACGTACGA